AAAAAAAAAAAAAAACTGAATCTAGGTGTTAATCGAATCTTGATATTAATTATTATACTTTCAAAATTAGTAGCAGTCCAATCATGATTTTGCGATAATATTGAATTCGTGATTTTGCGATAATATTGGGATGTTGAAGATCGAAAAAATTGGCACTGGCATTGGGATTTTTCAGGTAGTTCACCAGTTCGGCTCTACTCTAAAATTCTTCAACATTTATAACAATACAGACAGGATTTGATATGAATGTGCATAATTCCGAACATGTTAACGAGCCTCCAAGTTTAAAAACGCCGTGGGTACTTAAACACATCTAATGAACCGTACCGTAGCCCGCATAGTCCACTTCATTCAAAAGTGAAACGTTCAATAGCCAATCTCTTTGGCATTGGCGTCGCGCTTTCATTCGTATCAAGAAACACTCATTGTTTTCGTCTGTGCCAAAAACTTTCTGCTTCACGTAAGCACAGCTCTGGCTAATTGTTGCCCAGCAACATATGTATGCGCCACAGGGCTGTATGTTTGATTAACTTTTACGGTTTACTGACTTAATATAGTTTAATATGACCTAATGATCGGCAAATTTGATTACTTTAGAATAATACTGAAAGTTCGTGCATTTCATGTTTATTCGTTTACACGGTTGACTGGTCACTGTGAAGATAGACTACCCTGTAAAGATATATATAGAACACTGCGAATACTGAAATAGGGACAATGGTCGAATGTTATAAACGATATTGAATTGCTAGCTTATGAGTTCTGAGTGAAGAGATGAAAAACAGACTTGTAACAAACACTAGACAAGTATTATGGTTATTTTTTAAAACATTGTCATTGATAGTTATAGTAATAAGTTTTCCCTACATATTATTTAAAGTCAGTCCTTACATTTGGTTTTGCATAATGTGAATCAGACAACAATGTAAAGGGTGAACGCCGCTCCATGCTACGGTAACTTGCTGCGAAGTAGGTGGCAATCAAATTTATTGAAACACTTCTCAATGTACGTGGCACAGTGACATTAAATGTAAAAAACAATTTAAAAAGCAGTTAAATAATCTCATAAGGGCTATTCGCGATCTATTGTGCACAGGTAAACATTACAAAATGCAGTTTTGTGTGTCACGATAAAGGCTGTAGCGTAAAAGGCGCCAATGCCACACCGCTAAGCTAATTGCAAAAAAATAAAGAAAAGCTTTCATGGCTTTATAAGTGTTGTTTGTTTTTGATTTGGAACGAAGAAATAACAGCATTGGGGTACATGTATTTCACAATGAACTGGTGGTTAACATGACATTCGAGTGTGCAGTCTCAAGATAAAGTATGTTCTTAACGATATCTTTTATTTAAAAAAGATGCGAGTTGTAATCTATATCGAATTAGTATATAAAAGCCGTTTTACCTTATCAAAAATAGAAAAACCAGTACGCATCATTGTTGAATATATAACGCATACATGTAAAAAAAAGAATCTGAAAAAATACTTTGAAATACATATCGCTAACGTAAAATTTTCTTTCAAAATCTCTTTCAAAATTTCAAAGAAAAGCGATATTCAGAATATTACTAAATTAGACGAAAGGATGAATCTTAGTCAAACCTAAATCAACAAGTTTTCGATTTCAGACTGTATTGACTAATTCGAAATTTATTTGAGCACGTAAAGACTAAAACTTCACGAAAAATTAAGTAAATCAAATTTTATCCAAAATATAAGATAATGGTCTATTTATATCTTTTGTATTTTTTAAACATTAAAACTCCTCCCTTTATATGAAAATTATTTGTAAGCCACTACAATGAATAAAAATACAGTGTTATTCACATGTATGATGTTGCAAGTTTTTTTAAAATTAAATAATAAAAGAAAAAATTACGGTTTGGAAAACATTTCAGTCATTTGATAACTATGAATAAATCAAAGTTTCGTTACCTTCTGCTTCCAGATCCGTGTCATAAAAGAGACTGCTATCGTCACTGTCACTTTCGATATCCGATATTTCCTCGTCCCTTTCATCAAATGTCACTTCTTGTTGTCTATCGCTCGTTTCAGCACGTAGATGAGGCGACCCAAGTCTGGCTCTCTGTTTTTCATTTTCAACATTCGGTAATAAAGACGGGAGATCCGAAGGCACAGAGTAGCCTTCAGACTGACCGTCTGCATTATCCCTGAATGCTGTCAAATTAAAAATCCCACCCTCTTGCCTAGAATCAACATCGTTCCTGTCTGGTCCGTTCCCGTCGAACAGTTCTGGGGACGTAGACACTCCCCGATCTACTGATGCGTAACTATCAAACCTATTATCCGCATCGTTCTCTGTCTCCAAGTGCTCTGCGATGGAATAACGTTTGTCCATGATGGCAGATTTTTTATCTTCCTTTCGCCATCCCTGCCCAATATCGTCTTCGCTGGTGGACGTTGCCTTGTCATAAGTTTGTTGTGAGTTGGTAGACAGTGGAGTGCTTGGTTTGTACTCGGTATTCGGTTCTTTAGTAGTGGTTTGACCAGCACTCATTCTGCCTGACCTAACAGTGCCCTCAAGTTGCCTTGTGTTGTTATCTGTTGACTTCTCGTTGTTCATGTTCGTTTACCTTTGATAATAATCGTCATTTCAAGCACGTGAAAAAACTCCGTTGTCCCGTAACCTGGTCCATGTCGATCCTGTATCAAAGTGTCAGATCTACCAATGCACTGAGCTCCTCTTTGAAGGCTTATTTAACCTTATGAACCCGTATAGAAATTAATGCATAATGCCCCAATACATTGTAGCAACAATGACAAATGTTGAAATTCTGTACTATGCGAAAAGCAACAAATGTCGCGTGGCTTTACTGTCAACGCAAACGCTTTGATTCATTGTTGCCGATGTTGATTTTATATTCAAACTCATGTACGCCTGAAAATGTTATAATATTCAATATACAAATGCGCTCAGTTCTGGTAAAGTCACCGTGTTTGTTGATGTTTGAAACCGTTATTAACCTAAATATAAAGGAAACTGCAGAGGACAAAGGTGATTTTCTAAAAGAAATGTTTGAAAAATCACACACTTAGAGTAATAACCCCGTTTCCCCGATGGTCGTCACGTTAACTCCACTGTGGTTGGGCAGGACAAGCCCAGGTGTGCTCTCAAAAAATTAAATCACAGCAGCATGAGATCAGTCATAAAGGAATGTTTATTATTATTTGCAGAAAATATTATAGAAGAAAAATATTTGATTATGCTCAGCAGACCTCGATTTTTTTATAATATACGTCACGCACCGATAATTTACCTCTGACGGATTTAGAAAATATTAGAGCTAAATGATTCAGTCAAGTTTTTGAATCAAGATAATTTTACAAGACAAAAAGCGTTGCATTTTAAAACGTAAGATATACGTGGTGATTACTTAAGGTTTTATGCTTATCTATGAGAAGTAAAAGTGAAAGAAAATCTACCTGGGTAAAAAAATAAACCTGTACGTCAGATTGTTACCGTGCTTCCATCTTTTTCAATTATTGACTTGATTATTGACAGCCTGAAATCATTAGATTATCACAAAATTAACTTTAAGATCAGTCGAATAAATTTGAAAGCAGATGATGTCACTATGCAATAATCATTAGTTTTGAAATATTTTCATCCCTAATAAACAAATTGATTAGCAACTGTGACCTTACCCGAACCCATATTTCTCGATTAAGGACCAAATCTTAAAATCCATGTTTTGTCACGTTTCGGTGAATGCACTCGTTATGGTTGAATGAACACAATTTCTGCAATCTGGTTTTAAGATCAGAAAACGGCATCTTGGCCTTGTGCCCGAAAACCTTCCATCCTTACTACTTTGATGAATGATTAAATTTTCATACTATTGCCGTGGACTCAAATCTATTTCTGTTATCTATTATATGCTATTGTCCTCATATTCCCAAAGCGGCGAATTCGGATGATTATCACTATTGTCTATACGTCTACTCGAATAAAGTGAACACGATAATTTAACTTCGTTCTTATGGAAATAATAAATGCCAATTTGATTAACTAAGAAATCCATTGTGCCATTTCACTATTGTATAAAAAATGCTTTCTTTCAGCGGTCATAGGGCACATTTTGTTATTTCAATCCGATTTCATAGCGTTTTGCACGTCTGAAGACTGTTATATAATCCAGTGTTAAACCCTGGGGAGACCGGCTCGCCTTATAGATTACATATTGAATGGGTGTATGAACGCTTGATTAAAATGACAATATACACATCGTAACGTGCCTTTATAATGAAAAATAGCAAGGCTATATTTCGTTTAAATGTTATAACCTTAGAAAGTTTTAGTTTTTATCTTTTTCGTTTGATACTTCGAAAATCCATACAAAATTTACGAATATTCAAACCTAACGCCCTAATGCGATGCATCCAAATAAATTCAATTTTCTAGACTTTGTCTAAGTTTTATTTACATATAAGTGAACAATTCAAGTGTTTTTGTGATATGTGAGGTTTGCTGCAATGTTTAAAGAATCGGTGTATCACAATTGTAAGAGCTGCTTTGAAAAACTTGACACACGAGACAAAAATTTGTGGTTAAGGTTTTTTTTTATCCAACTAGTATCTTTGTTGTTGGATCAAATTGGTCTTAGTACATCTTGACATGCCCCCTCTCTTCTCCCCCCCCCCCCCTCCCCGCTCTTCTTCTTCACTTCATTGACTTTGCACTCCTTGGCCTTGAAATCCCAGAAAACTCGACGATCAATCGCATCAGCCACGTGAGCCATACACATATTATATAACAGGGCTACTCTCTGACCACAGGGTGCGCTACTAGTCTGTTACAAAAATGTTGAAAGCCCACAGGGGATTTTGTATAGTATTTATGTGGGTCCTTGATATCAGAGGGTATAACAGGGTCAGGTTAATCAAAGAAGTATTTCCATGTATGATAATTACTACTCGCACCGGTTTCTGGAACTTCCAGAATAACAATGTCAAACCCGAGCCTGGAAACTGAAGACAGCAGTTTTAAGCAGATTACGCGTTTAAAACCATAATTTTTCTCTTCTTTTTCGTAGGTTAACAAGTAGTTACTTTGAATGTTCATTATTCGACATGAAAGGTTCAAGTAATGGTATCTGGTTTGCAGTTGTGGATTATCTTCGGGGGTCAGTCAAGATAGCTCGCCAAGTTATCCGGAGGCTCCCTGGTTTAAATCTGAGCTTGTGGAACATAGCAACTTCAACAACTCCGCGAGATATCCCGTTACTTTGCAAAACTTATCGTTTTCCTTCTTTGTCTATGGCAAAGAAAACTTCCACTTTCTCCCTTTGTCCCAAGCACACCTACGCAAAAGACGGTGTACATTTGCTTTTGTATTCTTAATGAAACCAGGTGCTATGTTTACCACAAAAATAGAGCGGTCATTTTGAAATGGCTCCTTTTGTCTCGTTCTTACTTTATTCTAGTCCTTGCAGCTAAATTACGATTGATATCATCGTCAAAAATCGCATCTGAAAATCGAACATTCCCAACAGCAAATTAGCGGTCGGTAATTAGGTAAATCTTGTCACAACAAGCACAACCACACGGGAAATAAAGACAGGTTTATTTCTTTGTACCATTATAAATGTACACAAGTTAGATGCGCATGGCAAAAAAAATGTCGATTGACTCCGTACCTCAGCAACACAAGATGTGGAATTATGTTGTTTATAGTGATATATTTTTTAATTATAGGGATATATCTTTACAGCATTAATTTAAGGGGAAAAACATTTAACATTTTGCTGTAACCTGAATGGCAACTGAAAACAGTAAATTAAACTACGATGCATTTTCTGTTTAAGTCCATAACAAAGTGAAAAACGTTGCAAACGCAATTAGCTGAAAAGTGATCTACTAGTTTTTACAGATCTGGGGAATTCAAAAACATCATACAACAAAGAGACATCCTACATCAAAAGCGTACAGGAGCTAATCAATCGCACTTTTACATTTGACGAACGCAATTAATAAGAAAAAATAAATAAATCTCACATCATAAGAAATACAAGTGCTGTTGCTTATGAAAAGTTTCTGCTGTAAGGGCCTTTTACGTTGCCTTCTGGTAAGAAATTTAATAAATAAGATTGATGAGATCAACAAGATGCATCAACATAATTGACCAGTAAAAAATGAGAACATTCTGAATACAGATTACTCAGGTGCTTCCTTGTTGGCTTGGACTTGGTATCTGAACTACATTTTCATGTCCTTCGTTGTTATTTAAAGGATTCATACCAACTGGTGTGAATTCTGTCAAACAGCTGCCGCCATCTGACGGGCTCATTTCCGGCACATTCCCACGTGCATGTTTAGCGATTAAAGGCGCTCCTGTCAAAAGTGCTGCATCGCGTATAGGGTGTGACTGAAAACTCGAGGTCCCTGTCTGGTGTAAAGAGGTATCTGACACCAACTGTCCATTTTGATGCCCTTGAGACAAGACAACATTCTGATGTAATAGTTGCTGTTGTTGATTGTGCTGCTGTGGGCTGGCGAGTATTGATCTTAATGGTGATGACTGAACACCAGAGGGTGAGGGTACATGTCTTATTATATTTCCCTGAGTATTGTTTGGATGACCTTGGTTTGAATTCCAGGCTACTGGCCCTTGCTCCCCTTGTACTTGTTGAAGACTCCCTGTTGGGGACATCATGAAGACATGGATAAATCTCTTACCACCCGCAGTCTGATTACTAGGAGCAGCAGCAGCGGGGCTGCCTGTCACAAACACCAGCTGCTGTCCTGGGGACAACTGGCTGACATTGATCTGACCTTCACCTTGACCTGAGATTGGTGATGTCAAGGACACAAATTGGGGACTCCTGACCCCCTGTCTGAGCACATTTGGTGGTGTCTGCAGTAACTTCTGATGTGTCAATGGACCTGTAGCAGCTCTTGGCAGAGTAGGATGACCACCTACTGTTTCTTCTCCTGATGAAGTAATTTGTTTGGTAAAGTGTGTCCTTTGTTTTCTGATTGTCCTACTGTTCTCTATATGCAATGATTGTACAGGTTTAGGTACTCTACCAGATTTAGTTGGACGACAGATCTTGGTTATTATTTCATCTTCCTCCTCCTCTTCTTCTTCTTCCTCCTCCTCTTCACTATCCTGCTTTGTTTTAGTCCCACCTTCTTTCATGGCCTTTTTAATGTATCTATAATAAAACATTTGAAACATGTATTATATGACTAGAACTGATTACGAGCAAATGTCAGAAACCCAGAATGCATGGGACTGACTCACACAGCAGTGGACGCAGTTATTGCAGCAAATTGTCTAAATATTCCCATATATCAAAGAAACTGAGAAGTAATTTCAAATGAAATTAACAAAGAAGACTACATATAAAGCTTATTTACTACTTACACTTCAGGGGCTTCTGTATTGGTCTTATCCTCTTCAATAACCTCATCAGCTGAATCACTATCTTCATATGCAGTTTTCTCTGAAAAAAAAATAAATAAATAAACATATAAGTAATATAAGTTTATATAAGTAATGTAGCACATTCCTCAGGTATTCCTTAAGCAAATTTTACTAAATAACTTTGGTTACATGGTAAAAAGAATTTACATATATTTAAATAGGAACAATATTCGAAGGCTTTTCCTGATATTATGAATTACATACTACTTTTCTTTTTTCTCTTATTCCTAGTAGCCGCAGAAGTATTTGTATTTGCATCTTTGTTGCTCTGCTGATCATAATCTTTTCTTTTTCTTCCTGCTTTTTGCTTCACTTGTTTTGCATTTGCTACTTCAGGCTCATTTTCAGAGTCGGAATGGGAGAAAAGGTCTGGATCAAAGTCTTGTCTTTCTCCTGTAAGGAAAGCAAACAAGCAAAATTCCATACTTCTATTTTTAATGACCTCTCTTTACTTCCAATGTTTTACATTAAATGATGATTAAGATGCTCCAGAACATTTTTCAACATCAGTAACATAAGTTAACCAATAATTTAATTGTACAATTTTTGTGTTAGAAAAAACTTGGAATTAACATATCCATGATCTCAAGTAAGAAAGAAATAGCTGATAACTTACTCAAAGCTCTGTCAATCAGTGACTTATTGGTTCTTTCCTCTCTTTTGAACTTGTTCTGTAAGATATCATGTTAATGATTCAGGTTTCATTTTAAGATTGTTTTTTATTTTCATCACCATGTGATATTACATAACAAATCTGATCAGTCAATTTGACATACATGTCAAATTGACAGATTAAATAAACAATTTATTCAAACTAAAAGAAACACATGTCATAATTTGATTTTAGTAGATTGCGTTACTTTATTATTCTTTTCAAAGAATAATTCCTAAATTTTTACCAATCACTTAACAAAATCACCCAGGATTACCTTCAGTTCCAATCTTGTGCGCTTTGGGATAATATCAGACATCATGGAAAAATCAGTGCCAACTATACTCAAGGCCTTGTAAAACTTGATAGTTTCTGAAAATATATGTATTAATGTATAACAGTGTATAACCTACATGCCAAATAAATGTTGGTGACAAATCATTATCCAAAAAAATGTGACATACATACAAAAAGTATAAATAAAAACAAACCATGCAATATGCTTCTGGTAACCCTCTTACCTTTGGTGGACCAGACTTTATGTTTTTGTTTATTCCTAAAACTGGAGTAAGTTGTCTCGTTCTCCCCATCTTCATGTACCACCTCTCCTGTCTCTACTACAGGCCTGGCAGGACTGTCAATCACCATGCTAGAAAGATTGGTTTCAGAAAGTTTTTCTATGTATTAATCACATGGCAGTGTAATACTGTGGCAAGCAGTGAGCTTTTCCCATCACTGAAGAAAATGCGGATGTTAATAGTGTTCAATAGCCTATTTCGAAATATCTTTTAGTGATACTGTAATATTCAAACTTGGTGGTCATACAGAATGAGATAATTAAGTTTTATATATAGTCTCCTGTAATTTTCTGTTTGAAATAATATATAATTAGAACCACAATGCATCGAGTATACCATAATGTAGCAAATACAACTTCACTTTACTTTTACAACTGATAAAACCAGTTCAATACATGAGAGAACAGTTTCATTATCAGATGTATCAAATTATATTATTGTTTTTCTTTTTATCAAGAGCTTATAAAATATGTGGGTATATAGTCATTTACTCCCTGATGATGGTGACTGACAGTCACAGAAATATTGTAGGTAATACACACATATTTTATAAGCTCTTGATAAAAAGAAAAACAATAATTTAATCAGTTCAATAGTTTTTTTTTCTAAATTAAAAAAATTATTTCACCTCTCCTCATTTATGATAATGCTGCCATCAGGTCCTACTTTAACCTGAGGTACAGGAAGAGCCATGCCATCATCATCGTCATCCTCGTTCCCATCTTTTACTGGCTGTTTTGGAGGCATGGAAGGCGACTGAGGTACATTTTCACAGAGAGACTCCAATACTTGGTCTTTGCTCAGTGGAGTGTCCCTAACAATACTGCTCACAGAATCACTTTAGGAAAGACAAAAATGTTTATTGATAAAAGAAGGAAAAAACATAATAAAATTTAAATACAAGCTAAAAACTAATATTCTCATGAAAGAAATTAAGTTCAATCTAGTTCACTATTTCAGTTTTGAACACCTGATATTATATGTATATATTGTAACATCTCATAATTGTCAACAACACTACCAAGCCAGAAATTACTTACATGGAAGCCCTACGTGCCGTGGTCTTCTCTGATCTCTCAGCAGGACTTGGGTTATAATAGATTAAATCCTTCATAGTCATCTTTGTGCGATCACTTGGCACAGTTCGGACTTTTTCTCTCTTGCGACGCACCTTCTTTTCTGGTTGTTTCTGTTGATCAAAATTCAATATGAGCATGGTATCCTGCACTTCAAACAGGTATCATCATTTGAGGACAAGCCTTTAATTAGAGACAAGTAGCATGTCCTTTTTAACCAAGTTACATACTAACGATGCATAAATAAGAAATACCAAGCATAAATTATATAATGTATAAACAGTTGCTTGGTGCCCCTTTAGCACAAATTTGCCAAATGCTAAACATATTCTTATTTGGCCATATAAACTTTCAAACATGTTTTATTTTCACCAAATACATTTCAATTTTTCTAATAAAAGCTATTTTTAAAGCCATTTATATCACAGACTTAACAAAGACATACATTTTGCACCTCTTCTTTTCCAGTGGATTCCTGGACTGGGTCATTTGTGGTTGCCTGTACATTTCCACTTGAAAGGCCAGAAAAGGCAGGCGTTTGCCCCACAGGGCCAGGTGAGCCTGGAGTATTTGGCAAGCTGGGAAGACTGGAAAAGGGTAAAACGTCTCTTTTTGTGCTTATTTACATATTGAAAACACTGCAACTTCAGCTACAATTATTTACTTATAACTCATGAACACATAATGTTATATATCTATTTAAATTCTGTAATTACAACTATCGACAAAAGATTTCAAAATAACAATAAGCCCCTATTCTTACCTTGTCAACCTCTGGACTGATGGAGGCTGTCTGTGAAAATCATCTTCTGAATCACTAGCACTCATGGAAGGATGCCTATTAAATGAAATGAAATTTTAATACAAAGTTAAGTGCTCTTTAAAAAAATGATTAATTCATATGTATGAAGGAAAATTCAAGTAACAAGGGAATAAGTGGTACCTGACTCTGAGTCTCCCAGCTTCACTCAAATTTGGCTTTGGTCTAATGAACCTGCTTCTTGGTCTAGTTACCTCTGGAGGTTTGGAGCCAGGCAGAGGTTCAGTGGGCACGTTTGAATCTGATAGCACCTCTTCACCAGAACCACGAGTCAAAGGCCTAGGTGCTGCTGCAACTGCAGGTCCTTCTGATTTATCTAAGTCATTCTCTTTGTTTTTTGTACTTAATTGGTTTTCATTTGATGTCTTATTTGTATCACTGCTTTTATTCCTTGGTCTGGCAAGAGGCATCTTTTTGTTTTGGCAAGCCACAACATCTGCATCCTTGCTGTTTTTCTCAGAGTTCAAGATACCAACTTGCGTTTTTGCACTTGTGTTTGTTGATGTACGGGTGATATCACTGCTTGAACTGGCATTGACAGAAGAATTATCTGTGGCCAGAGATACATCAGTTTTCTGGCTACCAGACTGCCTACGAGTCTTAGGGGAAGCTTTTTGTGGTTCTGGTGCTGCATCACTGGCTCTCTACAAAATCAATTATGGATTTAGTACAAATTGTCAACCACCATATATGTAACTGAGCAAAATGAGGCCAACAATGTTAATACATACACAAATCAAGCTAAAGCTTATGCAAAAACGAACCATTAAATGCTTATTGTGACAAAAGACTCACTTTTTTTTAGTACAGATTATTGTCCACTGCTGTGCTATAATATCCACAAGGAAACAGAACATCTTTTCGTTTTGGCAAAACATCATGATCATGAGAAAATAGTGTACATTGAAAGTGTTACAGTTAATACTTTGATAAATGATTAAAAGAAGAGTTTTTGTCTGCAGAATTTACACCTTTAAACATTTAAAGCTATAAAGTCAATTCCACACTTTTGTACTGGTAAATGTTCTGCAATATCAAGCATTTCAAGAGGGACCTATACTACAACATTAGTAGTGAAAAGGGGGATACCTTGGACACTGATATTGTTGTGTCACTGGATCCAGACTGTGACTGCTCTTTTTCCTTTGCAGAACTGTCTACATCTGTTTTGTTCACATCCTTAGCGGGTGTTGCCACTGCTTTGGGTGCTCTGGGTCCAACATTGGGACGCACACTGATGCGGCTCCTCCTTGTGGACATCTTTATCTGGAAGCAAGAATGTTTTGAAATAACACATATGCACATAGAAGGCACTTGTGCTAAAGACAAGCACCTGGCACAATTTATGAAATTTCATATATGAAAAGTGCAACTACAACGATCCATACAGATAAAATAATTATTTAAAGTAAAATGCATATGCTTATCTAAATTCACACTACTAGCTACATCATACATGAAAGTATTGTGTACCGGTACAACAAATTTAAGGAACGCCTGCTTGCATTCACCATGTCCACATATTAAACCTTACATCTTCCACGACATACGTGGCAAAGACCAAGAGACAATCCAAGTCAGTCCAAACTAACCACGAAAAATCTGTGTATTGTACGTTACTAAGAAAAGAAATTGCTGTTTAGCACGCAACATTTTAAAGCAGGTTGTAGTAAATATTAACATTTAACTAGCACATTAAATTACTACAAAGGTATGAGATACAAAATATAAATGATTTTGCAACTTTACCGCTACATTTATGCTTAACACGGCACTGTCGCTTGAGAGTATTCCGCACAAATGCTGCTGCAATAATAATGCAATAATGTGGGCACATTACGTCGCCATTTTGGCTAATTCCAAAGCCTCATATCTTGGCAGAATATTTGTAATTTTGGTCATCAAAATATAACTAAAGATGCTGTTTTTCATCATATCATATTAAAATATATAATTATTTCATAAAATGTCATCAATTATTCCAGATTGAGCAAATATTTACTGTACAAGGAAAATATACGCTTTGGAGGGTTGAAGAGTAGAAACCAACTTCCTTTTCCGCTCGATCAGCCGATCATCACACCACTGGTTTGTAAACAAATGATTGTGTCTGCCACTGTGTGTGTGAGAGCGGCAACATCGGAGAAGAGCGACTAGTTGGGCGAGAAAGGACTTTTCAAACTTTTCTCAAATCCGGAAGTTTATGTAAGTTACTTATTGGTTGTGGAAGAGTCGTATTTGCTATTTTTCTTTGACCCAATTTATTTTATATCTATTAGTTATTCGCCAGTCGTGCATTCTTACAGTCGGTTACAGGATTACTGAACCCAGAACGAGGCTCTCATTTTGGACTAGGGTAAAACATTGGCTTGCGCCCATTACTCTCAATGTTAAATTGGTGAACTTTGATCGTTCATATCAAGCAGACCAGAGGACAATTACTTGTGACAACCACTTGGTTATATTCACTAGGGTTTTTAGCGTCAGTCAATGGGCCTCAGGAGGATTTTCTAGAGCTGATGGTGATTTTATCAGCGATAATACCAACACTCCTCCAACGGGCTGCAATTTCAGTTTACACCAGGTGCATGTTGTAATATAGGTATATTTTATCGTCTGTATCAAGTATATCTGTGAACAAATACGCATGGCAACTGTTTGTTGATATTCACTTACGTATTTAGCTCAGGGAAATTGCCATCAAAAGGATTTTCTAGCGTCAGTGGCGACTTAATCAACGATGGTGGTGTACTATTTTTAAAGCAATTTTTCCTACTGGGACACTATGACCTATACGCACCCAGATCATTAATATACAGTCAGAATTCTTGTATAATAAAATCATTATCTAAACAAAGAAAACTATTATATTCATATTGCTTTTAGAGGTCTCAGTTTGAAAGATTTGATAAGCTAGAAAAGGAGGCTTGGGTAGCACTGCTCAGTCCTGTCGTGTTCGAAGCAGGTGTCTCAAGTAATGCAATTAATGTGCTTTCAAAAAGAATTTTAATTTGTCACTGCTGTGTTTTTCATTAAAATTTATTTTTCTACTGTTGTCTGGATTATGTTTGAAGAGACAATGAAATACTTTTTTAGCTTTTATAATTTCTGCAAAAATGTAAAAAATTTCATTTTAGAGGCCTGCCAAAATTATTTTTCATAAATAGATTCATCCATAATTATCCAATTAAACGAAAAGTTTTGAATGAAAGCCTCACTTAAATCTTTATAAATTGTCAAAATCTACAAATCATTTTTGACTCTGATGCTAAATGAAGTTCATGGTGTTTTTTTTTTTTTTTTTTTTAGAAAATAATATAAATTTATACAGTAGTGATTTCATTTTCATTTTTAGAACATCAGACTCAATATCACAATACAAAGTATGATCTATAAAAATCTGAATTGAATGCATATTTAACCGTCATAAATCACTTTGAATTCTTAAACAAAATGCAAAATGAAAGATACAATAAAACTTGTTGACTTTAAATTTACATTTTATTTCTATCTACATGTATAAGGTATGTAAGANTTTTTTTTTTTTTAGAAAATAATATAAATTTATATGGTAGTGATTTCATTTTCATTTTTAGAACATCAGACTCAATATCACAATACAAAGTACGATCTATAAAAATCTGAATTGAATGCATATTTAACCGTCATAAATCACTTTGAATTCTTAAACAAAATGCAAAATGAAAGATACAATAAAACTTGTTGACTTTAAATTTACATTTTATTTCTATCTACATGTATAAGGTATGTAAGAAAGGAGTTATAAAATTCTTTGACATATGCTGTAATGTTCCATTCTGAATTAACATTTGTACAGTAAAAATGAATTAGAATTTCTATATCACACTTAAGCAAATATAACAGTAATGTCCAATCCATAACAAAAATTTGATTGCTGAGTGTTTTTTCTAATTGCATGGGTTAATAGATTTTACTCAGCAAACAGCTCCACCCGCTTGTTTCTTCCAGTTCATATACTGGAGTATGTGCATTGATAGCCTTTCTTGTGTTCTATCCTCTTGATGAAAGTGTGCAACATCACAAAGAAAAGGTATTACTTATCTGTTCCAATAGCACATTGTTGCCATTTACACACTTCATAGTACAATAATTAAATGATTTATTGAGTATGTAAAAATTTTATTCTGTCCATGATCTCAATTCTGTCTGCAGCAACATGGGTATTAAAAAATTACTAGAAAAAATTGTTCAAATTCTCAAAATGGCATGTACTTTCAGTAATTAAATCAGACTAGTAAATTGTCATTAGAGCTTTCTTTCAGCCCCCCTTTTCAAAGACAAATACAATGACCACACCTGTGAAGATCATATCTGTTTTAGTTCTATTTGCTACAATGACACCAACTGATAAGATCACTTTCTTCCAATGAAACCACCTCAAAGGGCTCTATGATTGTTTGAGGATCCAGTTCTGTTCAATCGCTGTGAGTGGACAGATTCATCCGATAACGAAGCCATTGGAACTTCTTACCTGAAAAACAATCGTAACTGTAACTGCAGCTCATATAATTACAGTGTAAGAGAGGTGCATTTCAATCGCTGATAAAATCGGCATCAATGCTAGAAAAGGTCCTTGATGGCCATTTCCTGACACTAAATACCTATGTTGATATAATTAAACAGTTGTCAAGTTTAATTATCTACCAGTGTGAGAGATACAGACGACCAAAGTTGATCATTTTAACATGGGGAGTAATGGAGCTTACAGATTGTTTTACCCTAGTCCGGGCGTGGCGGCCATCTTGTGACGTCATGCCGACTGTAAGAATAAGGATATACCGGTACATGTACAATGAATATTCATGTTACAAGAATACTGAGAGCACAGACCGCCAAGACAGCTTAGTTATCATGATTACTTAATGGATCACCAACAAAATTCCAATTGATTGTAAGTTAACCCACTTCAGACCTATGGAAAATTTCAAAATCGGTACATAACTTTCTGAGTTTTATCAGGAAATAAAAAATCAACAAAGACAAAAACAACTCCTCCATGAGTGATGTTGTAATGATAATGATAATTATACATTTCTACTATAAACTGTGAGGAATAGCCGATATTTATAAGTAGCTTATCTAAACTATTTTATGATATTTCAGAATCAACTTAAATAATTTACCCAGTATGCAATTCCCTTTCTGAAATTACACAAAAGTATTCACTTAAATTACTGAATGAATGCATGACATCAAAAAATCAAAGTGTTTTAGTTTGTGGTTGCTGAAGGAAAATGTTTTTGGAATGGATTGAAGACACTGATATATATATATTTCTGTTTGGGGAGCAAATTTCTAGCGCATTAATGCGTATACTACTAATGCTGCAATTTTTTGGCCCTGATGATGAACTCACCTTTTTGTAAATATATTATTAAAATTTATCAGTGATTTAATCCATCCTTTAATGAGATAACATTATAAGAATAACATGTTTCTTTAAGCTAACAATAAAATGGCAGCAAAAGTGAATGAAAATGGAGTACATGGACTGGAACCAGCTACAAAGAAATGCCGAGCAGAATTAACAGAGTTACAGAAGTTTGATGAAGTTTTCCAACAGCTTGTTGATGACATTACAAAGCAGGGGCTGAAAGATGGAGAGATCCATGATGCTTTCAAGTGGTTTAAAGAGGTACTCGTAAAGATAATAAATGAATAGACTGTATATGCTTTGTGTGTGTACTTTGCCTTATGGAAATTGTTATTTAATGTTACCTTATCTGTATTGCCACTTTTGTAAGGTATACATGGGCGTAACTAGGCATACGCACGGATGCACTGTGCGTACAATTTTTTGGCCAACCATGATATTATTTTATATATATTTAGTGTATTTTTCACGGAATATAAAAGAAAATCCTCTGCTTATTAAAGTCACCTGTATGTATAAATCCTCTGTATTAATTGTATAGGCACCCCCCCCCTCCCCGTCTTGCAATCTGAGGTTAACAAAGCCTGTAACCTTAACAAGTCCTATCTTAATCGTCCATCTAACTGGAACTTCCTTTACCTCTTAATATTGGAGGGTTCAGTGGCCCTCAACTCTTCTGTACAATCTTTCTTGAGAATATCGAACACATTCTCACTGGTGATATTTATCTCAGGTAAAAATCTGCCTGAGTGTTATTTTCAAAGAGCAGCTCGATCCCGCAACCCTGGGGGCACTAGATAAAATCTGGACACCAGGTTTAAGTAGGAGCTAGAGAAACAAAAGAAGAATTTTTTCCTGCAAAACTTCAAAGAATTTTGACATGGACTTGACCCAGCTTACCCCTCCTAACTAACAGGGCGACATGGGCAATTTTTACAAACAAATAATTAAACTTAGATGTATCAGAGCTCTGTCGGGTCGTACAATTGGTTGTTTTGGGGAGCCATGCATCCTCATGTAAGGTGAATGAAACCGTATGTTAGTTCTGTTAGATCCAGGATTTTTCGAAGGGGGTTCCACATATGCGAAGCTAGCCTCCTTTTAAATAAATATACCGTTCTGGGTAATAAGAATATTGAAACCTTTTTAATTGCGAAAATATTTCTGACAAAATGATGATTTTATTATTAATGGAAATTAAGCTGCGATGTGTGGTACATATGCTGTAATTACGCTGTCCTTCATCTCTTGCGTTAGTCTACATTTTGCTGGGAATTTTAAAAATCTGTGCGTACAATTTTTAAAGGTCTGGTTACGCCCCTGGTATATTATAAGGCTTACATTTAATTAGATTGGACATTTGTCATTTACATTAAGCACCCATCAATACAACCAAGAAAACCACCCATTCTCTGTAAAATAAGCAAGTATTGTTTTATATCACAGGTATGTGAATACAATGTACCATTTGGTAAGAAGAACCGTGGCATGGCAGTAGTGTCCTCTTACAGATACCTGGTTACAGAGGACAAGCTGACAGAGGACAATCTGAACAAAGCAAGGATCTTAGGCTGGTGTGTGGAATGGGTAAGGACTTCACTTCCCATATATATAATATTAGATTAAAATAAATTCATGAAAATCATTGCAAAATCTACTGTGGAACTTGTCCCCATCCCCATTTTTGATTTACATTGGAATAGCTATTAGCACTGTTCTTAACACCCTGTGAAGTGTAGTTTGTGTGCTTTTGAGCCTCTTTTTTTTAGAGAAATAAGCTTTCTTTTTTTACAATGTTATTTTCAGCTTCAAGCATTTTTTCTTGTGGCAGATGATATTATGGATCACTCTTTCACGCGTAGAGGAAAACCTTGCTGGTATAAAAAGGTAAAATGGTGGCAAAGGTTCAAAGCCAGCCTATCTGTGGTAATAAAAAGGCTGCTTCAGTTAAAAACCAGTAGCTGACCTGGTCATAAAGCATTACATAAACTATTAGTATATGCTTTAAAATTATAGTCATATTAAATTATGGTGGCTTTTCTGCTTAATGATTTTCAATACATACACTAATACGTTGTCAAAATAAAAAAAATGTGTTGTTTCAACAGTAATGCACCTTTTAAAACCTATTTTTAAAAGTATTTTTGGTTACTTTTGAGTCTCCACTATTTTCATGAAATTTTTCTGCTAGGAAATCAAGCGTAATATCAAGTTTTCAATATAGAAAGAATGATGTTTAATACTTCATTAAAATTATTCATTTCCAGGAGGGAGTAGGTTTGATTGCCATAAATGATTCTTTCTTCCTTGAAATGTGTATCTACCAGATTCTGAAGAAATATTTCAGAGAAGAAACTTACTATATTGATATAGTAGAATTGTTTCATGAGGTAATTTTAATTATTTAATTTATTTAGATTTAAAGTAATTATCTTATAAAATGATCAAAATTGTTAAGCATGTGTGTACACATGTAAACATTAACCCATGGAAGTTAAATACACATATATTGTTTATTAGTATCTAAGTAGACAAGATAGTGATATTCACATTAGCTATAAAAAATATCATTGCTGCATTTATATAATTATGTATGCATGTAACAATTAAATCTCTTTCAGCTTGGGTTTTTCTTGAAGATAAAAAAATAATAGCTCTTTAAAATTATGCCCTCACTTATCCCTTAAAATGTGTTTATTTTATCTTTGCAAGTGCATTTATCTTTACCAAATTTCAGCACACTGCACAAGGCAGAACACTATGCTAAATGTTTTTTATAAAATATTGTAAATTGCTCCTCCAGACCACATTGCAGACTGAAATTGGTCAAAACCTGGATCTCATAACAGCTCAAGACCATGTGGACTTCAATAGCTTTTCACAGGAGAGATATAACGCCATTGTCAAGTGGAAGACTGCATTTTATTCATTTTATTTGCCTGTTGCTTGTGCAATGTACATGGTGAGTGACATAGAGGTACAAAATTACAAGACCATAATTATTTAGGATAGTGTTGTAACAGTTTTTGTTTTGGATTGTTAGTTGGTTTATATTGAAAGCAATCATAGTCAAATTTCAGTCCATTTGCAATTTTTTTTTAGTAAGCTTAGAAGAGAAGCTGGTTCTTATTATATTGAGAGGGATCTGTGAAATTGACTGGCAATCATATGCATACAATTCATGAATATTTTTTACCAAAGACTTGCAAGAGTATGTGCTGTGGTTGGGTTGACAATACAGAAAGTAAGGTGAAGAGTTATTTAAATAATAATAATAATAATGTAATTCAACTTGCATATATATATATATATATATATATATATATATATATATATATATATATAAGGCATTAAAATCTTCTTAATTATCTCTGTATTTAGGCTGGAATATCAGATTCAGAGTCTCATGCCAATGCTAAAACAATTCTCCTGGAGATGGGTCATTTCTTTCAAGTACAGGTATTGATATGCTTAGTTTAAACACATCACAATAATTAGTAAATGGCGATTATAGAGGTGAAATTTTGACTCCTTTGGAAGAATGTTTTCCATTTATCTAATAAAATGGAAATTACAAAATTGCTGAATTTTGGTTGTTTAATATATATATTTCTTCCCTATTCAGCAATTTCTTTTTAATCCCTGAAGAGTAATTTGTCTTAAATAAAGGGGTGTGATTATTCAGGGAATTTCGTGGAATTTTATTCTTGTGCATGTGCTACCCTGTATGTTAATATATAGGAGATCACCTCATTCTCAATAAGTGACATTCATGATTACAGTATCTATATTATAACAACATCCATATTACTGTTACAGAGTAAAAAGTCTGTGATAAGTTTATGCTTTATCTTTCCTGTATCTCCCTAGGATGATTACTTAGACTGTTATGGTGATCCTGCAGTCATTGGGAAGGTTGGAACAGACATCCAAGACAACAAATGTGGCTGGCTCATAATCCAGGCATTAAAAAGAGCATCTCCTGAACAGATCAAAATTTTAGAGGTAAGATTTCCCTAGATTTTGACGAAGGATACAAAAATACCACACATGCATATGTTGTGGCCAATGCTGTCACCATTGGTGTTCTTATGAATATTTGCCTGTAAGCACAAGGAACCTGATAATTGTCAAATTTGTAAGACTGATTTATAGAACTAAAATACAGCTCAGGTTCATAATTCAACCTTGGTTGGATTGAAGTTTTTTAATTTTTGTAAAATTTTTATTTTTCACACTTTTTCTCAACCTTGCATGATTGATTTGACCAAGTTACAGCTTGAGTTCTTAAACCAGTCAGATTAGATTATTTTTCTTTTTTCAAAATTTCTTTCAATAATTTTGGGTCCTGTTTTTCAGCAGAAGTTTGGGGCTAGTTGTCACTTTTCCATGCTTACAGTGTTAAAGATCATCTGCCCATATTTCAGCTTTAGCTGGCATGTTATAAAAATAGCAATAAATTAAAAATGACATTTTATGTATTTCTGTTTCTCTTCTCAGCTGGAATATCTGATGCAGAGAATATTTCTAATGCACCAAGGTTTATTTTTTTTATCCAATTCCAGGAAAACTATGCTTGCCATGATGATCTAAAAGTAGCCAAGGTTAAAGAAATTTTCAACCAGCTGAAATTGTCAGAACTCTATACACAATATGAAGAAGAAAGTTATCAGGATTTGATGCAGCTGATAGAAAAATATAGTCAAAACTTACCAAAACAGATGTTCATAGCCTTTGCAAAAAAGATTTACAAAAGGAATAGGTAGAAAGGTAGATTTTAATTTTTATGTATTTAATAAATGTTCATATGGATTTTCAAACTGATTATACCCATACAAAAACTGATATATAATAAAGGGCTATGAAATTCTTGCTCTTTCACCTACAGCTTTCCTTTGGAGGAGAATCTTCATCATACATTATTTTTCCTTTACAGTTGCTTTACTTATAAATTTGATGTAATGACATAAAATAAAACTAGTTTTTTGTCAAAATTTATCTAGGTTTTCTAGTAATCAGTTGATGAAATGCATTCTAAAGTCCATTCACTTGGGCTATGTGGCTATTTTGAGAAAAATAATGTTCAAAATTGTGTTATAATAAATCCCAAAAATTCATGAATTGACATTAATACTAGTAAATTAAAGTAGATGAACTGTGAAATTCTTCCTTTGAGCTTGAACAGACTTCCGACAATCATACATTTTTCGATATAAAAACCCTTTATTTCCGTTATTGAAACTTGATGTGTACAGGCACCTGCAAAGAAAGTTATGAATATGATATAAACAATGAGCATTGTGATCAACAGATATCTCTTTCATGTTGGTGATCAACAGATATCTCTTTCATGTTGGTAATTATAATGACTGAGAGCAGGAAAATCAGTTGTGAATTAAAGTCACATGGCTATGTACAAACACTTCAATATAGTTCAAGTACCATGAAATTATTGATTAATATGATATTACATGGGTAAAGAGATATCATTCAATGAGAACATCCATATACTGCCCTCTGTCTTATTTAACACTACAGACTGTGATAACAGCAGAAATAGAAAAGTGATGATGTTACAAAATGCAGTGGTTGACAGTTTACTACATACATTTGTGCAAATATTAGAATGTTTTGATTTAATGCACTGAGTATAGCTTTGATAAGATATTTCATATAAAAATAATAGATCACTTTATATTCTCCCGTACCTTTTGACTATATAATTCTAAAAATGTAATGTTGGAGCATTGTTTGTTTTTGATTATTCCAATCTGGCCTCAATATTGAAGACCAAATACCTTGCCAGGTGAATAGTTCTGTCCAGCAGGCTATGAGCCTGGCACAATGCCTCAGATTCTAAGATGTTCAGATACTGACAAGAATTGGAAACCAGGTTTCGAAAAATGAGGAATTTCTCATTGGAATGCATGCACACCTAGTGATTTATCCCCTTTCAAGTATTGTTAAATTGTTTATTTTTACCAGGTTTTTTTCTTGTAATTCTGCCAATTGTTTACAGTTTTTATGTTAAAAATAATGTTCCCATTATTTCTCCAAGTTTTGTTGTCATATCTTATAAAGAATTGGCAATATTCATACAGCACTGTGACATCTGTAGAACTCTTTCAGTTATAAGTTTCATTTATTATTTCTTCATATATATATATTGGCTTTTATTAAACTATGACTCATGATCTTTGCAAATAATTGAATATTTGTTATATATGTATATTGGATGATGATAATAATAAAAATAATAATAATTGCAATTTTTATAGTTACTATTCCTTTCAGTGTTGTTTAAAATTACAAATTTAAAACATCCCAAATGAAAAAGGTTTGAGATCAACCCATTACAAAATGTACCCTGAACCACATCTTTTTCTTATGTACATGTAACTAGAACCAGGGAACTAAAGCCATCTCTCTTTACATTCAATGTCCAAAGGCTAAATAGGAAAAGGAAGACATATTTCAGTATGTAGATCTCCACATGGGTGCCCTCCAGGGAAAAGGTACATCTGACGTTGGTAGAGCAATGCTTCCTTCATGTCTGGTTTGTCATGGGTGTTCATGTCTAGAAGGCTGCACCATCTGTCATGTGACCTATCATGTGTTGTCATAAGTTACCTAAATTAAAGTGAAGACTTGGCTGTAAATAATTTTATTACATCACGAGAAGAGACAACCATATATATTGCCAATTTTATTAGATCAGATAAGTGACAAGGCAGGGCTGTAATTTTAAGTAATAGTATCTAACTTTTAGAGGGATGTCACATTGAAAGCAGGAAATAGGAAAAGGCACCGAAGTAGAAAGTGAACAGGCAGAAAAAAAAAATTGTTCCTTCAGTGGTGGATATAAAGATCAACATAAATTATGACAAAAAAAATTAATTAATGTCTAGTTCTTACCTAATAGTTTATCTTCATTCCATGTTTTCGTGCTTCAGAATCTTGTAATCATCTCTCCTTCAGAACTGTAAAGGGAAAACAAAAAAGTGGATTTATCTTTTAATAGTTATTCATAATTTTACTTTCATAGTTTTTTTTTTAATGGTAAAAATTGACATAAAAAGGGGGGGAATTCAATGACCTTTCTTGGCATAATTATAAAAGGAATTCCAGAAAATATTTTTGTAAATTTTTGTTAGTGTAACATAGAATACATATATTTTGGTGAAGTGCAAACCTCAAATTTATGTACTCATGCGGGGGGAATTAAAATGCTATAGGCGTGCAGCTACAACATTCGGTTCAGTAGCTTGCATTTTTGTTGGCTGCAGGATTTACAGAGTGAGAACCTGGTTTCATCTTAAAGGCTTAAAATTATTGTCCAGTTTGATCCAAGATTTTTAATAGAAGTCAACTTATTAGTAAGAATATCTGCCTGTTGTTATAAAAATGAAAAATAGCTAATTTTATAAAACAATATTAACTTTATTTTAGTAAACCTTAGCAGATTTTCCTGGATTTAAGTAACCAAAAACTCAGTCTTAAAGTTCAACTTTCAATTTAATAGGTGCATTGTCATACTGGGCCTAGAAGATACATGTACTAGTCAAAAGCCTTCCTGAAGGACTAATTAGTTGTCTTGGGGCTGATTTAATGATTTTTAGACCAAATATTGCTCTCATCTTTTAGACTAAAGACTTGCACTTTTTTGGGGCTAAATCTATAAATCCACTAAAATTTAGTAACTAAAATTAAACAACCCATGTCTTCCCAGTTATAACGCTAGAATGGGATTTCATTTAATTAGACTACTTCTGATTTATTATGGCTAGATGAAACTATACTTTTGGCCTCAAAGTTTGGGCCACCTTAAGGCATACAAGCTCTTTTGGGCAACCGTCCGTCCCCTATCTCTCAGATACCATATCGCACATAGCATCACGTCATTTATCAATCCCAACATCTACATCCACAGAGTCCATAAATAGTGAATATCCCATGTAACATCTCAGTTTTAGGAAATGTACTTGTAGACATTGACTTCTTCACAAGCACGCTGTGTCCCCCAATTATTGTAATTATTCACCTGGAATTCCTGTATCAACAGGTTTGACAATGCCTTGTCCAGCCTAGTGTGTAGCATAGAAATACCCCTTTGATTATTACAGCATCCCTATTCACAGGCCTGTCAACAGTTCCATGTTATAGAGCTTTACTCAAATATCACCATAGGTGCAGACTAATATATTATTTTCAACTAGTGGAAAGAGATTTGTGACCCTAGGTCAAGATATGAAGTATTTGCACTATGAAAGATACATTTTTGGAAAATAAATTTGATAATTTTGGCATTCGGAATTATGTGTATGCCTTAGAAGTTGTTAATTTCCAGGTACTGGTAAAATGACATCTTCAACACTTTGACATTCATTAATTTCTAACTTAATACAAACAGAACTGAAAAATTTTACACCTTAAATAATGCCTTTTTTATAAACTGTGCATTTTTAATTAAAAAATCACAACTCTAGTTTGATTTTGTATGTAACTTAATTTACCTAGAGGTAAGAAAATCTTTCATACATCACACTGTGGTATTCTTAATTTGTGAATAATTGCCTTAAAATCTCCTTATTCAGTTTTTTAAGATGAAAAAAGAAAACTTACTTTGTAACGGTCAGGGGCTGGCAGACAGACTGCTGAGAGGCCGGCTTGAACTTCTGTGGGGCCATCAATGAAAAGTTTGGCCCCACACCATTTGATTTACTGGCAGGTAGACTGGAAGATGTGGAAGTACCAGCCAGTTTTGTAGGGTCTGCAGCAGGGAGTGGGGAGTCCCCATCCTGGATATTACTTTTAGATGGCACCTGCTTCAGGAGGGCAGCTGCCTTTTCACTGAACGTGACTGGTTTACTCTCTGGTGGATTGCCTGCAGTAACACTTGTTGGGGTTTCTTTTTCCACTCCTGAAGTAACCCCATTGGTATTAGCTTCAGATGATGCTTGCTCATTTGGACTAGTAATTGGTGTAGAGGGTTCGTTGTCTGGTTTTCCAGGTGCTTTTGATTTGATAACACTGGAACTGTCTGGCTTGTTCGAAATGGAGTTGGTGACAGTCAGTCCAGTGTCCCCACTTCCAGGAACTGCTGGTCTAACATCGGGAATAACTAACCCAGCATTTTGGTTTGTGTTGTTAACCACATTATTAGGTATATACCCTGCTGGCTGAGATATCCCGGTGCCATACTGCATGTGTGGAGGCATCTGATTGGCCAGAAGTCCATTATGAGGAACCAGAGGAGGTATTCCACCATTCAGATTAAATGAGTTGATAGTAAATGGTGCTGGAGGGGGAACAGCACCAATGGAGGTGTTCAGTACACCATTTGGATACATGGTTGTTGGGAGGACACCATTATTCAAGGTGGCCATCTGTGGTTGGAGAAGCCCCTGGTGGTGACCATTGGTGATGTGCATTGGTGCAAGATGAGGGTTGTACATCAGCCCTGTATGCAAGCCAGGTATTACCCCATTCATTACTGGCATCCCTGTCATGCCCATGGCATTTCCATTGGGAAGAGTACTGGCAGAGGACACTGCATGAACTTCAACTGGGACCTGGATTACTTGAACATTGGGATTTTTCAAATCTATTGCAGTGACATCCTTTTCTCTTGGGCTATCAAGACACTGGTGGGTATCAAGCATGACTTTTCTGTCCATTGACGTGGGTGTGTTGTTACCATTAGAGGACTGCCCATCTGGTTCTCCATAATCAGAAATTGCCCCTGTTGCCATACGTGTACGCTCACCCAGAGGAGGAGTTGTGTCATTAGAAGATGTGCTGGCATTAAACGAACCATGAGAAATGAGCTTTGGAACCTGGTGGCCTCTATTTTTATTGACAACTGGCATGGTGTGCATGCCCTCTTCATCACTAGTGTCTTGAAATAGAGGATTACTATGATGGCGATGCTCACGGAAATGCTGAGGTCGCTTTAAGTGCATCTGGGCCTCCTCGTAGGCAGTGACTCCACGCCTTTGCCTGGATCTCACTCTACCAGTTCTTTCAGGTGACTTGTAGGTTGGTCTGTTTCCATAGTATGGTTCTTCCATGTCCTCACCTTCACTGTCATAGTCATCAAAATGTGTAGTGTGTCGCCGCATCCATTTGTTCATCTGATTGCTTTTAGGCAGGCTGGTAATGTATGTTTCTGTTGGTGGGGGGATATGCTTTTCAGGGATCATCTGCCTGGAAGGTTTGATATTAACTGCATTTCCATGTGGATAACGATGAGAATCATCATATTCAGAAAACCCTGCATGCTTGTTCTGTTCACGAGCTTTAAGCTCTTCAAGTTCTCTCTCAATTTTCTGTAATCTGTCTAGTTCTTGTTGTCTGAGGGAAGCTCCTAGTTGGTCCTGTTTTGGAAGCTGGCCATTTGTCAGTATAAACTCCCCATTGCTTGAATAGTGAGTTGTGCTCTCCTTAGGTTGCATAGATTTTTCTGAGGTCTCTGAATCCAAGTCTATTTGGGTCAACTTCCACACCCGACCCTCATCATCTGTTACCTTATAAGAGTCAGCATTTTCTTCAAAGGTGCTGACAGAGTAACCCTCTTGAGAACTGAAAATTGATTGCACAGACTTTCTACCCTGGAGTTTGCCGGCTGCTCGACCTATCGACCCTACAACGTTTTGCATAGATTTTTTAAAGCGCTTTAGGCTGCCAAATTTCTCCATTTTATTGTCATTTTTCTTATTTATCTTTGATGGTGTGGATGATGGTGCACCACTGGACTTGAACACACTGTGATCAACACTTCCATGTTTGACATGTGTTCTCAAAGAATCGTCTAATTCACCATCCAAGTCTTGTTCTGGTGTCCAGTCTGATTGGTCTATAATTTGTGGCTCATGGGTAATAACTTCTCTAGATTTCTCAGTTTTTTCAGGAGCACTATTGATGTTTGTGGTAACCTTTCTCCCATTGATAATTGATGTCCTGTCTGGAACCTTAACATTCAGTTCCCCTTTCTCACGCCGATCTTCTCTGCTAGAAAAGGCATTTGAAAGCTCTTCCTGAAAGATTTCCAGTGGAGTCTTTGGTTTGTCAATGGGAGGTCTGATAACTGGGGGTCGGCCATTTCTTTGATCTGCTGCCTTTTTAATGTCATCTAGCAAAGCTGATCTGTTTGAATTATTTGATCCATTCATTTTGGTAGAAGCAGGTGCGCTGAGGCTCCTTGCTGGTGGGGGACCATGGACAGCAGGCTTTTCCTGCTTTGCAGAGGCTGCAACTGCTGGTGGGGGTGGAGGTGGAGGTGGTGGTGCTGCTTTCACTTCTCCCCTAGGAGATGATGCACCACTTGATGGTGGTGCTGGTGCTTGTCGCTTCTGTCGTGACATGCTTGACTGCCGAGACAAACTGTTTGGGGTGTTACATGGTGGCAACGGGGCCTGGTATTTCTTTCTGTATCTCTTTGGTATCTTAGCATTCATATCAAAGTGAACAGAAGGTGCCGAGTCCTGGCGCTGATGTCTGATGACAGGACGACTGCCAGACAAAATTGCACTTGATGAGTTACTCCTTTGCAAGTTTATATTCCTATAATAGTTTTCCTTGTCCAGTTCATACTCTTCAGTATCCTCAATGGTCTCCAGTAGATCAGGCACAGAATGGTGCCTATAAACGTGTCTCAGTGGAGGCATCTCTGCTGGAAGACCAAAAGGCAGGACCCTGTTCTCAGGTCTTGCATAGCTAGGTTGCCGCTCTACTCTGTGTCTGTGTTGAACCCTGGGTGGCCTCAATGGTCTAGGTGGCGCCAGGCGTGGTGGGTCTTTACCAAGGTAAGTTGTTGTAGAAGACGTATTTCCCATCTTGTTTCAGTCTTTATAGCTGAAAATAATAATGAAATAATAGAAATGTTTATTTCATTATGTAATGTTATTTTTGCTGCATTTTTCTTCATACTTGAAATATCTATTGGAATTATCATATGAATATTTTTTAAAATTCAAGTTGTAAACTTGTTTTGTACTAAGTAAACACGAATGTGTATATCTTGAACAGAAAATTCTATCTACATTAAAATATCAGAAAAAATATGTAAATACTGGTACAAATTCCCTAAATATAGGCAACTTCTCAAAATAATACTAAAATTTGAAATAGATAACTGTTTTCTGCTTTTCAAGTTTGACTAGTCCCATGCCTTTGTTTCCCTTCTCTCTGTGAATTCTATATGACAGGACATCCTGTGGTCTTGCACCAAAGGGGAAATATTTATCTTACTACACTAGCTATATCATAAAGAAAGAAATGACCTGACAAACATTTCCACATGAAGTAATAATTTATGTCTTTACAGACTGTAATTTCCAGACAGCAGGTGTTTATTATATATTTATAATGATAACAATCGCTTATTTTACAGAAAAGAAGGACTTGCTCAGTCTGGACATTGTAAGCTTGTGTAAAATGACCTAGTCACATTTTTATCATCTCCCTAAACCAGTGCATATTGACTTCGCAATGATTTAATTTTGTTTTTCTAACATCAGGCTTTGTTAATTGTCTCAAACATTTCATGGAAAGTGGAACATCGGAGACTTTGGTATCTGCCTCTTCGTGTACACAGAAAAATACAATGAACTGTTTAAAAATGTTCACCTTGTAGATTTCCTATTTATAAATAAGCTCTGGTCAATAATGTAAAGATATGTGCAGCATTTCAAAAACTGCTGTCTGCAAAGTGAGTCAGAAATAGCACCCTATGGTATGCCTTCTTTTGTGTTTTGACCTTTTTCTAAGGCAGGGTATTACTCACCCTGCAAATTGGCTATAATATGATTTGGGGCCCTTAATTCTTCCCACAGGTATTTGCATGCCTTTGTACGTAAGGCCCGAAAATTATTTCGGATTTTCCTTACTTCTTGCAATTATGACATCTCATTTGGTTATGTCAACCATGTCTTTTCATTAGCAGTCTTGTTAATATGTGCTTTTTTCATTTTAATATTATGAGATATATTTCAATGAATATTTTATTTTTAAAACTCCACACAAGAATTTGTATTTCTCTCATTCATATTCTTTATCAAAACCAAGATCAAAAACATGATAAGACAGTGCCAATTATCATTTAAAGAAGATTTAGTACATTTTTCCCATAACAATAGAAGAATGTACCATGTTTTTGTTCAAGTTGACACTGAGTTAAACTAAATTTTGATGATTGGATGATTCTCCCACCCAATTGGCAGAATCGATGAATAGAGGTGATTAACCTCTGAACATGGTGTAGCTCAATTCTTATGGCAAATGCATTAAGAACCAATGGTTACTTTGCTTTTTGCACTCAGTTATAGGCTACATCATATATACTTCCAATTTTACCGGGGTGTATGTTTTTCTCCTGATTCACCAACAATCTGCTCATCTTTATTTTGGTGCTCTATTACACTGATAAAATTCCAATGCTGAACAAACATATCTACATGCATGCAATGTTCTCTGTTCAGGATAAGGGCTACATGATCACCTTTTCAGCATGTTACCAGTCATCAGAAGTATATTTAGAGCTGATTAATGACATATAATTGTTATAAATGCTCCCATATCCAATTATAAATGTTTGGAATTAGAAGAAAAGTAAAGATGATATGTGCTTCTCTCCGGGTACACATGCTTGTTCTATTTGATTTCAAGTACAATCATGTAGGTTTTGACAACAACCTCTTCCTCCCACACCACCGGTAACCTCCTATTGGAGACTGAGATATTATTCATCCTATTTATTGAAGTAATATGTTGAAGATGTCAGATCACATTTTCATAAAAAATGTAAAAAACATAAACCGAAAGACGTTTGGATTAGACTCCAGCAAGTTCATGTTTAACAGATTTTTTTACATTAATTTGTCAGTCCTCAAAAAGGGTCTCAAATTTCCTGAAACTGAACTTTTATTCCTAAGACCTTTCATGACAGCTGAAGTAAAAATGCTGCATTGTAGTTTCATTTCTGTTGGAACTTAAGATAAGTTTTAAGAAATATATCTTTAATTATTGAGAAAACATTCTTCAATACTGATCAACAGGGCGTGTTTTGAGTCAGGGAATGCTTTATAAGTTGCCTATTGGTTTCAGCCAGGTGCCCTGATTTCAAAGTACAGTTTATATTCAAGCTATAAAATTCATCTAAAGCATATCTAGGGTTGTTTTTCTTATGTACAACTCTTTCTATTATACCTTGCAATGGTGTTTGACAAAAAAAGCTGATTTAAATTATATCCCGTAAGGTGATATATATTGCACAGAAGTAGAGACTTTTTTCAGATAATGGCATACAAATCAGAATTGGCAAAAAATGTTTGTTCACTTCAATTGTGAAAAGAGCTCTCATTTAAAAATGATTCATCTTGATTTTAAGAAATACTGCTTACCAAATAATACTGAAACTTCATGTTAAGCATACTATTAATATTTAACCCTCATTCACAAAAGACAAAAAAAAAATTATCCATGAAAGAAAAAAAATAATGGGCTCTTCCAGCTGATCAACTAATTTTCTTTTTACAACATGAATTAAAAGTAAATATTAATAACACCTGTCCATTTAGGATAAAACATTTCATGGACCAAATTTTCATGATTCTTTTGGCCATGAGCATACATGTAGCTTACCACAGGCTTCTGATTATCTCTCCCGTTCCTCCTTTATCGTCATTTCACAAAAAATGCTTTATCACCTCCATAGTACCCTCTAAATGCTTAGCCAAGTTTGAATGATTTAAGTTTTAATGCACCTATCTAATATAAAAAATCAAACACCCCATAATTGTCTTTTACAGGGTTAATTCAAATTAATGGACACCAGATAAAGATAGTATCATTTAAATGTGGTGTATGGAGACCACATATCCCAGGACATCAAGATTTATAGTGTGTTCCTCCAGGGCCCTAATACAAGTAATAAAAATATTCCCAAGTATTTGACAGTAACGTACTCTAGAGTGGCTGGTCTTTGAAGAAAACTAAATATTTAAGAGGCACAATAAACATCTTGTAGGAAAACGGCAATTACTGAAACATAATTTCGAGCTTGCAAGGAACTATATTTTTATAGAGGGGTTTTTACGTTGTCACCACCCATATAGCGCAAGCATGATACCAGGTGTCCATATCATTACAGTTTATCTTCATGTTATATCTCTGTCCCTTTCACCACCACACCTCCCCATGCCTGATACCATCTTAACTATCCCGTAATCACCATTTTTCTTCTGTTATTGGACTTTCGACAGTTTATGGACTTTTTCAATAGGTTTGGTCAGCATTGGATTATGAGATACAAAGGCAGGGGGATATGAAGTGAGTTGCCATGTCCTGTCTTATCATCATTATAGTGAATGGTTGGTTGAACCAGGAGTTGAAATTGGAGAGAGGATTGAATGATGAAGCACTTCTCAAGTTGCAAGAATTTGGGAGCTTTTTTTTTCTAATTGCACAACAAGTTAAAAAGCAATCATGAAAACAATCAGTAATTACATCTCAGGTGTACTTTTTTAGTGCCTTTTATAGATAATTATTATAGAAATTTTATAGAAAACTATTATTACCCAAATATATATATCCAAAATTAAAAATAGTATTTTTGTCATTACAAGATTTACATGAACAAACAACGTAACAGTCGGTGTTTTATAGTATTGCAATCGCAGATTGGGAGGGGTCATGTGAACAGAGGACAACAGCCCCAAGCCTCTTCTCTCTTGCCCACCCACCCCTAAAAAAAAAGAAAAAAGAAGTATAACAAGCATAACAATTTCTTCATTTCTATGCCCTACGTACAAATAATACAGTTAAAATGGTTCTTGTCTGAAAGTCTAATATTAGCTTAGCTTTACTCATTTTCACCTTTTTGCACCCCCCCCCCCCAAGCAAAATCCTGAGTCTGCGAGTATATTATTCATACACATATTCTTGATATGTAGTCCTATGATGTATCAACCTCCCTTCAGAAGAGAAATCTGTTTCGACCCCCCAAAAGCCAGGCACTGAGTCAAGGTGTGCTGATAACAATGGCAGGGGGAGGGAACCACAGCATCTTCTCACACCCAGGGCTGCGGGCATTGGTGACATACCTGTTATTTGTAGATACACGGTACTTATTACTCACTTAGTATATTTCCACCTATAAATATGGGTGTGGTACGGATAGCTGTGTATACTTCAAATAAAAGTACTGTTTTTATTCAGTAATATCTTTTATAACTGTTTAAGTGCATACTATTTGACAATCCAAGTGATTTGTTTATGTACACCCTATGAATTAGTTTTGGCGCTAAAACATATATCCGTTTCACTTTGTTTCATACCAACCATTCTTTTATTGAGAGCTTTTCAAAGCTTTTGTTTGCCAAACAAAAGAAATTTGACTGTTTGCTTTGAATTCTTTTCAAGTTAAATTTAAATTTTGTATTTCAAATGTTTGCTTGCTGAATTACAATAACTTGCAGTGGGTTTGTTTACCTTTCAAACTCCCCTGTACCATATATATGTGGTTTTTTATAAGTCGACATTTTTATATATAAAAATGGGTAAAGATGGGACAATAATTTATCCTTAAATTATACACCTTGACTGGGTTTGCGTGATGCTAACTTCATGGTATAACCCTTAACAACTTAAACACCTTTAAGCTTGTAAACTGATCTTGCTTGACACAATAAATATCAGGTGACGTCCTCTTTTGTCAAAACTCCTAATACCTGCACTGTCACCTAAATGCTTTAAATAAGTAAGATAAGATTTAATGCATTTACAGTTCTTTTTAAAAAGTTTCCTACTTTTCATGTTCACTATGAGAAACTGTACACTGTCTCATATGAAAACTAAGTTACAATTATTTTTGGATTGTTACATGGGTATGTCAATTCTTGAATTGGCAAGTAACAATAAAATAGACACCATAGTGGGTGGACTCCACCACGACCAATGAAAACTGATATACAAGTATACACTTTACCTCTATTTATAAAGTTTTATTAGTTTAAGTTCTTTGCCAAGTCATAAAATAGTCTCCTACCCAGTGCCAACATTTCTTTTGGGCGTTGTTCTTGCAAGCACATAAAAAAAAAACGCAGATCCATGGTTAATTGAGAAATCGTTTAGCTTAAAGTCGAACATGATACTTTATAGTATATGTACGTATTCACAAATTGGACTAGCAATTTTTTTGTTCATTAAGTCATTTATTTTGATAAAAAATAAATTAAGAAACTTTAAGTGGACATCTTCTCCCTTCTGTAATGATAGTAGTTCCTGCATTTTCCTTCAAAAATCAAGAATCACTTTTTGTTGCAGGTTTCTCTGCTTAATGCCATTAAATTAAAAAATACTTTCAACCTGTTATTTCATTACAGCTTAAAAGAATATCCTTTCCATCAAGGTAATTTTTGCTTTTTGGAAATAAAAAAGAAAGAAATCCTGTGCCTTTGACAAAGTACCAACAGTCTCATTATATTTGGCCTGTCAAAAAAAAAAAAAAAAAAAAAAAAAAAAAATTCCACACCTCAGTGCCTCAGGTATGAAGTAAAGCTTTGACTAAATGTCTTCCAAGCTTATAGCCAGAACGCCAAATCACATGTGATATGCCAAATCCAAATATTGGACCAGAAAAGTATTACCAAAGACATGAATGTGCATTATATAACATCTCTGGGTGTATCATTGCATGCAACAGTGGTCTACCCAAACATCATCTGCTTGGCCTTTTGTGGTCAAATTGATCGCTTGAGCACTAACAAACTACTGAGGAGTAACAAGTGCAGTTGACTTTCCAACACGGTCATTGATTGAATTCTACACTAGACAGCGTGCCATCTGTTACTTATTAGATTCTAAATGGTTAGGAGGTAGACAAGTGACCACTACATGAAAAGCTTAGTGCATAAAAGTTACTAAGAAAGATGTATAAATCTCTGTTTGGTTGTGAAGTAACTGTCACACAGTAAAATAAAATGTTTGAAATATATTGCTTGACAATCTAGTCTTTAAATTATATATTACTTGACAATTAGGTCTTTAACTAATATATTTCTTAACAATCCAGGCTTTAAAATTGTTTTACATTTGTTACATTGCTTATTTCTCAATGGTATTTGTTCAGATTAGTAGAAGGTGAAATGGAAGAGAAAATGGCTTTGGAATCTCTTAATTGGCACATTTCTTACACCATACTCTGTTCAATCTGAGAAATATCAACAAAACAAGCTAGCCAAACTTTCTCTCTGAGTGATTTGTAAAGAATTGTATTGAATAAAGTTTACTGTGCAAGTAATTGTGGATTTCCATGTAAAAAGACAAGGAAGTTGTCCTGAACTCGGGGCAACAATTTCTTTTAGCATATTTGCTTTAAGCTGATAGAAATGTCTTATAAAAGAAATTGCCCCTGTATTATTCTTTTCTATACATAGCAGAACCTGCCAATGAGTATTTACTGCAGCTTTTGTGTTCTGGAGTTCAGTCAGAGTCATTGGCTAATTATGAGTCTAGTTAATCCGAATAATTACAGGTAACCAACTGGAAACATCGGCCATTGGCGGGGGTTTAATATAATAAGGCTACAGCAACTGTTGGCAAACACCCAAATAAATCACTAAGAAACCAGATGGCATACTTGTGATTATTAAGAATGATTCAATTTTTTTCAAACCATTGCTTAAGGGAAAAAATTCAATGATTTTATGTTGTTAGTTTGAACCTTGTAGCACTATGTTTTACGTAGCCTTAAAGATAAATTCATTCCAACCACCCATATTGGAAAAACTCTGACGTATGCTTCCATAGCAAATAGGCATAAATCTGTCTATTACAGGAGATTCCACCTCTTATTTTTACCTTCCTAAAATATTCTTTAATAACTTATGTTTTTCCCTATTATGAAATCAATAAATAATAATTAAGTGTAACTGCATTTTTATTTTATCGCCTGTGTAACGAATATGACTTACCTATGAAGTGTGCATCGCTGACTTAAACCTTTAAGCAATGAGCTGTGGGGGTTGGAAGATGGCCTTCTGGAAATGAAAAAAAATTCAATTTACAAACTAACATTTATATGATACCTACTAGTACGCAAGTGTGCTGGAAAACATTTGCCGATTAGTAGATCGTAGTATAAGTACTCCGTTATGTCCCATGCGGTCTGTAACATAGGTATACCGCAAGGGAAAACACGACACTGCTAGTACTAAGTGTTTAGAAACTTAGTATGTACCAGATAAATACAGCTTTTTTTCGTCAGACAAATATATACTCTCACTGACGTCAAGTAAACTAAACAATTCATTGTGAAACTAGTTGTAGGTCTATTACTAAAGTTAGTCCACTTTTCGACACTTTTCTCACATTCACTAAATTCTACTAAAGTTGCCGTTGTAGTACCAGTTGTAAAGCTCCTACCTGTACATCAATGTGTCAAAAAAAGGGAAGGATTTCAAATGAACCCGATGAAATTACCAATCACTCGATCATGGTGACCTTTATCAGTGCTACCTGGCCGGCTACCGCTATTTAAGATCAGCCGTTACCGTTCTAACGTTTTTTTCTGTCAGCCAAAGACACGTTTTCCTCACCTTTCCTATACAACAATCACCACAATACATGTAGAAGTTTTTGACTCACTTCCTCGTCCGAAATATGAACAGATGTTGACAATGTAGAGAACTATGACATCCAGAGGGAAGCTGCTAGGTGTGGTGGATCGGTCTCCACCTCTTTTCCGCCGCCTCTTGAGTCAATGGATAAACATGCGCGACAACTCCTTCTACCTGAGCCTACTTAGCATAACAATGAGACTTCTTTAGGCCCAACAACACGGCGCTGTTTGAGCCTATTATTACACAGGAGAAAAGCGCAGGCCCTTGTCTGTGTTAGCAGGTTAACAGACCGTACACTACTTATTCTTCATACCTTTGGAGACCGTCACCCAGTGGCCGCAATGGTATCAACCATTGTAAACCACCTCGCCCCCATTTCATTCATTCCTAGCTTACAGCGTGGGAAATCACCAAAACCATAGGATTATTGGGTAAAAAGTGAAAGCAAGCTACCGATGGGAAGTTTTATGAAAAATGCAATATACACCAGGGTGTGGTTTGATAATAATACAGGCGAATGAAAAAAAAATAAAGGTAATCACTACAGCTTTTACCACCTCCTTTGCCGACCACATGCACCTTCTGCTATGTATTTGGCAAAATTGAAAATAAAGGGAGTCGTCAGATCTTTGCACATTTCTTTTTCTAATTTTGTATAGGCCTATGAGAAAAAAGAAACTTTGCGGTAAATTCATTTTATAACATTGAGCGCTGGATTTGCCCTACGTCGATTGAAGCGAGCTTAGATTTCCTATGACACACAAAGCCATGGCAAGAAGTTTCTTTGTCCGATGCAAATAAAGTCGACACACCAAGGGATGAACCAAATCACCCCCCCCCCCAAAAAAAAAAAAAGAAAAAAATTAAGACTGCCTCTCCTTTAAATTTTCGTATGTAAAAGTCCACCAAATGACGTAGTAATGTATGACCCATTACTGCTGCGCGCGAAATCGCATAATCATTCTAATAAGAGTTGGCGAAAACGACCAAGGGTTACATTTAGCGTTGAAAAAAAGGCAGAGAATCCCTGTTCAAATATCATTTTCGTGAAATATGAAATAATACCCTTTGGTATGCCTTTAAATTAAGGTCAACTTCTAGAGTGGATCATTTTCCGGTATAGATTTACGAAGATGGAGATGCTTAAAATGTTGCCAATTCTTTCTCAATAAAAAAAGGCATCATTGAGTAAAAGCTCTTTTTTAACTTGGCAAGTAAAAGGGACACAAGTGAAATGGCAAGTAAAATTATGTTTTTTGGTTGTCAAATTGATTGATTACCTTTACTTAGAGTGATTGATCGCGTGAGTGTACAAAGGGTAAATGTTGATGCTGTAGGTGAGACGACTCCCGATTGCGTTGGGAGAAGCTTGTGAACACAGTTGAGCCACGCTCGACTGTCGCATGAGTGGTTAAACAATCTGGCTAAGAAGCAAAAAAAGATAACATCGTGTTATGAAATCTGTAGTTTGGTGTTCTTAAGTGGTTTTCTGACGTTTTTTAGGGTTGGCTAACCAATCAAGGTGACAATCGAGCTTAAGTTGAACCAAAGATAACGCTGTGCTTAGTTGAAAGGGCGATTTCTTTCTATTCGTATTTGTCGTAGCAACTTGGTTTTTCTTCAAATCATATCAATGCTCCAACTGACTTTGCACTGTATTGGTATTTGCGGTTTTCCACTCTTTCAAATGTCCATCTGTTTGTCATGTTTTAGATCATAAGAAATTTCCCCAAGATTTTTCTTTTAACCGACCTAAAATTTTATTATGAACTGGGATCAAGTACAACATTGTAGAAGAAAATCTTAAACAGTCCAAGGTTATCAATCTGCTTTGAGGAACGTCTGGACGTCGCATGGGGCTTTCAGTTGCTGTTCATGGTGGTACGTATCCAGTCCACGAATTGGGATGTGCGCGTGTAGACGCTGGGGTAACCCTCAGTCTTACAGCCAGATATCCCCCAAGAGGTCGCCCCCGCCACTACGTAACGCTGGCCCACCTTGCAGCTCAGAGGGCCGCCAGAGTCGCCCTACGATAAAGATATAGATGAATATAAATTTTGGCGAAAGAAGAAATGATAAATATGTTTATTTCGGGGTTGCCAACATCACAGATCCCTTAATGCTCAAATGATCATTTAATGATTAAATGATAAATGTTCAGAATACTTAAAAGCTGTGGTTTTCAGTAATTGCTCTTGGCGAAATCTTTGACTGATACGACAGCACAGAAAAGTGAAAGAAGTGAAAGCGTTTTACGCTGTTGATAAATATCAAATACAGAATAGCACTTATTAACACAATTAATGCATGCTGTTTTCCTCAATCATATTTATAGGTTACAATCTAAACACAAATTTAATGGACTCACGTTGCAAGCACCGGCAACTCCGTTCCCAAGGCAAATGTGTCCGGAGTTAATATACGATGAACCCCATTTACTCTCACATTCATCGTTAGAAAGGACCTTTATGTTCAGTTCATTTAGAACTTGGTCGTCGCCGGTTCCTGAATTAAAAAGACATATTTTAAACTTGCAATACTTGTTATCTTATATCTAAACGAAAGAGATATTCGGGGAAATTGTGCAGCGCACTGTCCTTAAATGACATACTTATTAACGTTATACTGACATATTACCTTGAGTCAAGCCCCAGCCAGTGATCCAGCAGTCATTATTTCCAAGGAAGTCATCAGTACTAGCTGGCAGACAGGCGGGCTGGATTTCACTGCTGTAGCTGACGGCCTCACTTAATTTCAGCAAAGCTATATCATTCGGGAACCCTGCGCCATTTCCATTATATTGTGGATGCTGGAATACAATGGATGGGAAAATATCGTTATGCTAACAAATCAAAAAAAAAAAAAAAGCAGCTGATTGATTTAATCTCTTTCTTTATATTTTATGCTCTTTATATTATGCAAACACGTGTTCTTAAGAGACCATATGTAATAAACAGATTTTAATTTATTACTTTAATCGAGAAAGAACAGAACAGACAAAGAAAGCACTAGTAGGACATACTTCGATGATCTTGGAAACACTCATCTTGACTTCAATACCGGAATCTTCTGCTTGGTGATGCTCCCCCAGCACTATCTGAACAGAGCTTGGTCTTGATCTAAAACAGTATGCCATGAAAAATATGAAAATAAAATGAGTTTTTTAAAAAATATTTTGGAACTTGGGAATGTATACTAAAACTGAGTTGCAACCAGTTATTATTATTTTTTTTCATCTCAGGGACTTACATTGCAAAATTATTATGAACAAAATAAATAACTCGGGCTTATAGTGTGCATGTATTCACATGTGAAGTCGGTGTAGACATTTAAATAAATAAATAAACATAGAGTCGGGGTTTATGTTTACACAACTTTATAATATTTGATCAAAAGAACTCTCTCTCTCTCTCTCTCTCGTCTGCTTACCGTTCAACACAATGTGCAGCTGTGAGGACCCATTGATTACTGATTAAGGTCCCACCGCAAAAATGATAATCGCTGGTTGTTTGCAGAGATACCTGCCAAGGCCACTTATGTGCGACAGACTCGTCACCCCCAACAATTTGCAGGGCGGGGCCTGCACGACCACACTCTGCAATAGGTATGGATCAGCAAGTGTCAAATAAAGTTGGTTAGATATTTTTCTCGCAATTTCTAAATTGAATCTATTTGAACGTTTCGTCTGTAGCAGATTACTTTAGACTTAACGACGTATTATAATCTGTTATCTATTAAAGATTAATTGAAATGAATGTAGCAGCCTACCACCGGCTGGAGAGTCTGTTGGTTCCGCACCAGCAACGCAGCAAACCCTGGTACTTCTACAACCAGACGCGCTTGTGTCACTGCGCTCGTTACTATAGCAACTTCTTCTACAACTCCCTCCTAGATCGGAGCACGAAGCTGCAGCTGGAATGCATAAGCAGGGGTGACGTTCCTTTCCACCAGTGTTTTAAGCCTTTCATTATTTTTAAATAATTATTTTTAAATTAAAATTTGTCTTCGATAAAATCTATATGTCAAAAAATCAAGATTATATCATTTTCACATACACTTACCACCATATCCGATGCACAGCAGAAGCGAGAGAACTGCCAGGGAGTTCATGATTCCTGGAAGGTAGTTAGATGTCCGGTGATTATAACTAACTATAGTCCACCCTTTTATAGAGAATCGCTCTTCATTTTATGGTTGTGTACATTGACGCGAGAAGCAGGTAGCTGGGACAGCGCCATGTGTTTTAGGCCTCAAGGGTGTTTTTAATTCATGTAGTAGATTGTAAAATTTGCGCACCTGTTGGTTCGTTATTTTTTCCTTCACAGATTTAACGGAGGGAACAAAATTAATACTCCATTGAAAGAAAGATGGTATTGCTTTTTTACTTTTCTATGAAAATGCAATGGTATATTTGAGATAATGTTTCTTGGGTTCGAGTGCGTGGTGGTTTTTTCTGTCACAACGTGTTTCTGAAGTCGATCGAAGCACACGCTGAGCTGATGCCGCCAAACTAGTACTGGTACTGGTACTAGTACCTCTGATATATTAAGCGTGTTGAACATACAACCGATAGCCTACCAGGAATATGTAAAGATTGTTTGAAAATTGTGCTGACCAATGCAATACAACTGCCTCTTATCGCGAAGCATTATGAGTGGATATACGACCGGATGTCGTTTTCGTATGAATGAATGGTTTCCACTTCTGTGGGAGCGGATTACGAAAACCCGATGGTCAAGTGGATCATAATCAATAAAAGCACCGAGAGTGCTCTAAATATCAGAATGATACATTCATAGGTAAAACTGAGTGCATGTGTTTTTGTTCACAATTTTGGGTTATTTTATCAGTTTTGATCGACAACAACTTTAGACTGACAGACGAGGATTAGACACTAAAATATGCTCCCAAGGACCTATTTTCTTGCTAAAATTGGTTGTGGGGGAAAGGAAATGAAACACTTTTTTCTTCTTCGGCCACTACTGTTTTATTTTAACCTCTGTTTTATCACTTTAATTTCTCAAGACACAATAACAGCAACAGCAATAACATGATAGGTTTTGATGCAAATCAATTTTACAGCTGTTTTGATACATCCAAGGTAGCTCCACATCTTCAAGCGTGATTCCCGAGGTACAAGTAGGTCAAGTTTGTGTGAAGTTTTCCCTTTTCAAATTAATTGCCACGTTTCTCCCAAATCTGGTTCCTTTGGAAAGGTAAACATATAAACCCCAGATCATTTGTTGCACGTTTTAGTACATCCCATGGCAACACGTCGAGGCATAACGCCGGCGGTGTCTTAAATTGCGTGTGCCTAACAGATCTTTTAGGCTATTTCTTAACTTCAGTACGGCCCATCATCTCACATTGCGTCAGAGTACCACGTGACCTAGACCTGTCACTTCCTTTTTGCATGTTGAGGTGGGGTCATTTGAAACGTTTTTATAGCGTTTTAAGGGTGGTAATAACTTTTAACATATCTCTAGTGTACAGATCAAGTGTTGTTTCTCCTATGCTCGAAAACTTTAAATAAAGCTGTTAATTTTATCCTGAGGTAAGGACGGAGTTAAGAGTTTATGTTGGATGTTTTTGAGAGAGAGAGAGAGAGAGAGAGAGAGAGAGAGGAGAGAGATAGATGATTTAGTAGCAAAGGTGAAAACAAGATTTTTGCCATTAACAACGCATGTTTACAGTGGACATTCCCTTATTTAGTTATTTATATGCAAGCATTATGTCTTTGTGTAATTACATTTGTTTTATTTATTTTGCGTCAATAATTTCAGAATTTGTAATGGAGGTAGTTTTAGTTTAACTGGACTCCGTTGTTGTTAGATCTCCAATTTTGTCAACTTCCTAAAATTAATTTTTTGATTAAAAAAAATATTTAAAAAAAAATTAGATATGGACAATTAACAGAGAAGTTCCTGTCCGTGATTTTTTAATTGCCTAACAATTGAAGTTAACAAGCAGTTTAGGAGAAATCCATTGAGTCAACATCGGGCATTATGCGATTCTTCCTAAAATGAAGAATGTCGTAGAAACTGTATCTGAAGTGTGATACCTGTAAATGTCATGTTTGTCATCACACCCAAGATATAATCCATTCGAGCTACCTGTCAATACAGCCTGATATTGTAGATATCGTATTTTCATTGGATATAGTACAATGCAGTATAATGTAATATAAGTACACTGATCTCAAGTTAGAGTGTATAACTATTTATTAGTAACAGGTACAATGCAGTCAGCGACGCGACATCATAATGGTTAGAGCGTGTTCTTGTTATGCATCCGGACAAAATTTGCATCATGTAAATGCAAGATATAGTCTACCAACTAAAACTTGTCTTTATTTTCTAGTGAAATATAGCGCCCATGAAAGAAAAAAAGTTTAATTTTTTGGGGAAGCGCACTTTAAAAGTGTTGTGCTTAAGGGTCGGGTTTTAATTTCCAGACCCGGACGCTCTTTACTTGTAAGGCTGCATTCTCCCCGTTGTTTTCGGTCGGGGTCCAAGTGGGATACCAGCTATTCTTGGCCAGCCAGAAATCCCTGGGAGCGGTCGGGGAGGCATTTTTCCATGGCTTGGCTGGGCCATTATTGACCCAATTGTCTTGAAAGAAACCATTTGTGCCCCCTACGGCTACGTTCATAAGTAGATAAAACTGAAAACGAAGAGAAAAAATAACCAATGTATAAATAAGATCGTTTGTTCGATTAAAAAATAGTTTTGTTAACTACAGTCTTGAAAAAATAGGTAATTGTGCATACAGCTGTCTTGCTGTTATGATATATTTTGTGGAACTAAAATGTCAAATGCACATAACACTTGATCATCTTTAGAAATATCAGAAGGAATTAATTTTACTTCAGAATTTCGCGACTGCAGATGTTTTTCACGTTTTTTAAATATATATAGTGCTTTTTCAACTGATACAATGTTGCCAATCCCTACTTCCTGATCAAATGGTGCCATTCTGGGGTTTGGTGCTCCTTTCCAAGGATTGTCTGAGCCAGGTATAGTATTGCTGAAATCGCCAAGCTTCCAGAACCCGCCCTCGTCTGGAGCGACATCTAGGATTTTGTCACCGTCGAGGAACGTTCTGCGGAAAAACAACGGAACAATATAACGATTATAAAGATGAGCGTATAACATAAGCAATGTAGTAAGTCGCTTTTCAATATTTAAAAAAAAATTCCAATTTTTAAAACACCACTTTGTGAAACAAGGGATGTGCATCTTTGAAGAGAAAGGTAAAGGATCAACTTAATATTCAATCATTACTTATGATAAAAAAGGAAGTTATCAAAAGATAAAAGTTAATTGGTTTGATGTTACTGCAAGGAAAAAAACATGGCAACTTGCCTTATTCCAGCTTCGTCCCATTCCATGGTGTAATTATGGAATGCTGTGCCGAACGTCCCCGACTTTGCAACTCTTTAAAATCAAATGTTATTTATAAAATAAATCATTGAAGAATATTCAAGAAAAAGCTAAATCAAGAAGAAGCGATAAAAACAAGAGATTCTTTTTTTCCTAAAAACACTATGATTTATCAAAACACTGTATGTACTGCTACAGGAGGGAGAGAAAGAGAGAGAGAGACAGAGAGAGAGAGAGAGTTCATATTTCTTTGTGTGAAATTGAGGTATATTTTCATTCTAATATTGGAAGATGCATACGCGCCGCCATGGGTCTTCTCAAACGGGTCTGCGCCATAGAAAGGTCCCCAGTGAAGTGTGGATGCGAATGTGTTTACTCCTTGGGGCTCGCCTTTCTCGTCCTTAAGGTCAGCGTTACCTCGGCTCTCTACGATGTCTATCTCCCCAGAGGCCGGCCACTCGCCGTAGTTTTGGTAGCGTGGTAACATCCAGATAGCTAGTCAGAAAAATCGTTTTCATTTTGTGTTAGCTAGTACCGTAATGAAACTTAAGGGAACGCTTCAAAGGTACATACATGTGCATATAGTAAAACGTGACTGATGCATTTACATAAATTCGAAAATATTTCAGTAAGAAAAAATATTTGATCATCGTTTAAGTTGGTTCGCACTTTTTTATTGCGTGTTAAAGCGACGCGTAACTTTACCATGTTTATTGGTTTGTAATTTAAAAGCCTAACTCAAGAGGTTAGTGACGGATTTTGATTACATATTCAGGATAGGTCAGAAATGGGCTAACATTGAATTGATTACATTTTGGTGGTGTTCCATTTTAATTAAAATTATTTACACAATTGATAACGAAAACCGAGCTGCCTCCGAACAGGTGTGCGTTCTTTGAGTACTTTTTCTAGTTATTCAAGAAATCATTTTACCAGGCCAGATCCAATCTCCCGTCGGCATCTTGGCCTCCACCTCCACTTTTCCGTACTTGAAGTTAAAACTGTTCACTGTGCGTAGACGACCAGACTGGATGGGGTTGATATAGTGGCTCCCAGTACCCTGTCGCTCGCAGCCCCAGAACGCATTGCTGGTGCACAGGTCCGCAGGACCTCCACCTAAGCCAGATTTGAAGGCGTGCGAAGATGACATTCAGTCACACCACAGCCGAATATTCACATCGCTATGTCATTCTTAATCATTTAAAGTCTTGTATAGTATTTAAATGACACTTTGTTCTTCCTCAATTAACTTCCCTTTTTGTTCTTCCCTCTGACGCATCACATGTTCGCACACAGGCACACATATTCACTTAACGGTGCAAGCAAACATTTATCTCTTAGATAAAATTGCGAGTATTTCTTTTAAACTTGTCAGGTTTAAAGAATACCGGCAACAACTAAGTCAATCGACGCGTATATCTACACCTCTTTAAGTATGATTTTTTTTTACAAAAGTTTACAAAAGGTGTAATTACTAAGTTCTATTTATCTGTTTGATTAGTCTACGCACCCCAAATATCCATCACACCGTTGGATAAGAATTGTTCGCTGAATTTGTCACTCGTCAAGGTAGGTTTAATGAATAGGATGCCGTTTCTGACGTACGTGTTGCTGCGATTGTTTGTATAATACTCAAACTCCCAGTTCTACAATAAGAAAATAATTATAACACAAACCAAAGAGCTAATGAAGATATGTTATCGCTATTATCAATATGTGCTAAATTTTCGTTTTTAACCTATCTTTTATGTATTAATTTTCCATTTCAAGTATATTTACCTGTACACGTTTAAAATTTTTCAATCCATTTTTTATTGTTGATCCTCAGATACCTCTCAGATTACTCTCAAAGGTTATTCTATCTTTTATTCGTATAAGATGACAAATCTTAACGTTTTGAGCAATCTAAAATGGTAGAAATACCTAAAATCCATTCTGAAATGATTTTGTCTGTCAGAACTTTCTATGTATTTTGGTTTGAAAAAACATCTCGCAAATGAACAATAACGAAAAATGACTAACCCCGCCACCTCCCATAGTGATCTCATGTTGCCATTTGGAGAAATCCAAAGTGTCGAAATCGTCTTCAAATATGACGCACGGGTAAGTTGTACAACCAGTTGGATCTGTGGAATTTGAAAAACATATCTTCACAGCTTTATTTTGCGTCAGTTTTTTTTTTTTTTTTTTTTTTTTTTTGTACACCCTGCTATAACAACAATTTTTTTTTATTAGAAAATCGTATTTCCTTAAATTTTTCCTTAAAAAGTTTTTTTATGGCTTTAAAACAAAAACTACTTCTGAGAAAAATGTCATTACAATATACAGGCATATACTTGTATATCTCAGCGCTACGTTCCGTAAAAAAAAAAACTGGTATAAGGGAATGCACAAAACTCAGGATCTCAGAAATGTTAGAGTATTGCCTTAGAGTTTCAGTTTTGAATCAGTCGCATCAACAAATGAGGCCTTTAATTTTCCAGCCTCTCTTCAGTACTTACGTGGCTGGGGAGGGGACGTAGGTCCTGGGCCTGGTTTGTTAGTAGTAGTGGTAGTCGACTTAGTAGAATGGTGAGTGGAAGAGGTCGTACTCCCTGACGACCCTGGTGTGGTAGTTGATGACGAGTGCGTGGACGTCGAGGTTGATGGTGAAGGCGTAGTTGAAACTGAGATAAAAATAGTAGTAGCCAGTTTTGCACAAGTGTAAGCTTTGAGAAAAAGGCGAGTTTTAAATTTAAACAATAAATTCCATTTAAACAATAGCAAGGCTGACAAGTAGCTACATGTACCGGCTCATTTAATTTTGATAACTTCATCAGCACCAACGATATTGATCAAATGAACCCATAGAAAGAAACCCATTAACTTGAAGCTAAGAAGGCCCATACCTGGCACTGTCCATTGCAAGTTGAGGTCATTATGGCCGCCCTGGCCTTCAATGACCACCAGATACCAGTAATGGACGGTGTCGCCAGGCTTCACCTCCGTGGTGCTGTCTTCGTACACCCACTTCCCACCTAAAATATTCAAAGAAGCGTTCATTCAAAAGTTTTAGAAAATATTTGGTTTGTTATTAATGCAGGTATTGCATGAAAGTGATTGAGCATAATTCATGGCTGTTTTTTATCTTTATAAATTGAGCTGATTTTTTTTTTATCTTGATGGACTCAGACTGAGTTCCCATCCCTAAGAGACCATTCCCAGACCCTATCGTAGGCTACTAACTTTGGATCGAACTATCTCCGAGAGGATTCCCAATTAATTGCAATAAACTTGGGCGGCTTAGGTGTCTGTCACGCCTGCTAAGGCTGATAGGGAGTAATTAGCTATCGTTTAGCAGCTTTAGTGGGCGTCCCAGACGTCTAAGACCCCATTTCCAGAGATTAGATCGATCTACTTTAGATCGACCTAACTCCCTGGGGGTTCACGCTAAATAGCTGTCAGCCGAGCGGACACGAAAGTTAATTACCCCCTTACAGCTTGTAGTAGGCAGGAAGGACATTTAAGCCGGATTATATGACAGTAATCTAGTGAGACTCCCTGAGGAGATAGATCGATCTAAAAGCGCTGGGAATACAGCCTAAGCCGCTTGGGCTGAAAGCAACTTAGCGAGGGACCCCGTGGAGATGGACCAATCCTGTTAGATCGATCTAGGGATGTGAACCCAGTCTTAGGGTGCATTCCCAGAGATTATGATCGATCCAGAGATTTAGATTTAGATCGACCTAACTCCCTGGGGGTTCACGCTAAATTGCAGTCAGCCGAGCGCGCACCATAGTTAATTACCCTCTTACAGCTGTTATTAGGCGGGTCAGACGCTTAAGCCGGCTAAGCTGACAGTATCCTAGAGTGACTCCCCACAGGGATAGATCGATCTAAAATCTATGGGAATGGGGTCTTATTCACATGGATAGGGATGGTTTTACATATCCATACATCAGTTTGTATATACACTGTTTAACGTCATAATACAATCTATTCGTTTAACTGTGAAGGACTTTCTTAGTCGAGATAATAATACCTTACCTGTTTTGGTCCTGATATCGACATTGACATCTCCCGGGGCTACGTCACGAACGACTTTATTGACACTGTAGTGAAGACCAACCAGTGTGACTCCTTGGTGGTCTGCAAATGGGTAGATTAAATAGTATAATTATTGAATTGATCCAAAATATCTCAGACACATAAAAACACTGTACGTATTTCATACAAAAAATTACCTTTAAACATAGCTACAATTATCTGAAGTTTTTATCATTGCTGAGCCGTTTATATATAAAAAAGAAAAAAAAATACAAAATCAAGAATTGTATAGCAAATAGCAATAAAATATAACGATATCTCTTTAGGTTTTTCAACTAAATTGCATGGGACCACGTACAGTACAGCGCATTTATTATATGATGGCTGAAATAGTAATTTGGTAATAGATACATTCCTCGGCTTTTGAAACATGTTTTAAAATATAATTCATGAGCATAATATCACAACGATAATCGCAATAACTACAACCTGGATATTCAAACTTGAGACCACGTGGACTTAGCTGTGAAATTGCCATCGGCTGAATAATTGGTCCTCCGGATTGTGCGAGTGCTGGCTCCAAAAGGCACCCCCATATCACAACGCCAATAACAAGCCTCATCTTTGGGATGAGATGAAATTCAAGAAAATAAGAGATTTAATGTCTACGGGTTATTATATAAATACCACCTTTTTATCAATTTCAAATATAATTTCAAAAATATAAAATCAAACAGAGCATCGATCTTTATATTTACTGGTACAGCTTTCTTCCCACGCTTGAAAATGTTTAATATCTATATATCTGTATATCTGTATATACCGTAAATGTCTATGGTCCGCTCTTGAACGTCTATTCCCTATTTATCCAACAGCCTTGTGACTGATCTGGAAAGGATGTCACTAACTTTGTAGGATAAGAATGTTTAGAGACAAGATAAAATAGTACGCAACGCAAACATTTCCTGCACGCGACCGGTTTTCTGATCCCAACTTTTGGGTTTGGATCCGCTGAAGATATCTGCACTGCCCAGATTTTCCAATCAGACCATTACGTGCGGCGATTGTATACAAGGGTATTTTTGTTCTCATTTGCAAGGGTAAAGTTAAGTTATCTTTTGCAAGTCATACATGTGGGGGCAATATACATGTACATACAGCTCGATCCACGGTATGAAATGTGACAGCAGCTCAAAATTAATAATTTTTTTTTCAAAATAATGGATACAACTACTGGTTCAAAAGCAAATAAAATGGCATTGCATATGCAAAATTTTCACTTTTTGTGGGGGGGGGCATGACTGAAATGTTTACTGTTTTGGTGTACGGTTAAAATGAAATATAAATACAAATCCTTGATTCCATGATATCTCAATTGTAGCAACAACAGTATAACATGTAATGCAAGCCTTAAGTAACGAAATATACACAAGTGAAATATGGCGTAAGCAATGCAATTTCAAAAAGCTCAACTATATGAAAATTCATTCTCTATTTGCTAATATGAATTTGAAAAAATTGCAATATGAACTTCTCTGGTAAAAGCACTCTAAACACCAGTGTTTTGTGGTGGTCTCTAACTTGTAATCCACTGTATGCTCAACTGACGCATTCCTGTAATGCTTCTGGATTGTACGTCTCATCTAACACAATTTTAGATCACGGCATCGTAAGCTGAGCTTACGCAATCAGAACAATGTCATGGTACACTGCGTCTTGATCACATTAACTGCCTACTCGACCTTTGGTATTGAATTTGGTATTTATAGCATTATGGATTTTAGCAAGGAAGTGGAGCGTGGGGCAGTCCAGTTTTGGGACATTCATTATGACTTTATGTTTGATTGTACCATGGATTCTATCTGACTATGCGGATAGCGGTGCCTAGAGGCGGAGGGGGGAGGGGGCTTTTATGATACAGGTTTTCAAGCACAGCTGTTTTTTTTAATTGTAGTTTATTTTAAATCGCGGAAAAGTCAATATGTCGTTTTTTCCATTTATTTCTAATTTCACAGGCTTGACAGTTGTCTAGTTTAAATCCACAGTATTTGCCATTGAATGTCATGTCAAACGAAGAAAATGGTGACTGATAACAACTTAAGACATGGAGGCACAAACCTATTAGCACATTATGTACACCATATTTGGGAATTTTGAGAATGATTTGGCATAGTGCTGGTGTTCTCAAGAGTTTGATAAAAGTACCTATTACATGGATGCCAACATGTACTGTAGAGTGTGAGTTGCAAGGAAAGATATTAGTCCTACTGAGATGAAAGTTAAGCCAGTAACTTTTGTGTAAGAGATTTTCTTTTCCATACTGCCTTGAAAAAGAAGAACGAATATCGAGCCTGAGCCGCGTTTCACTGGAAACTTAAAGTCAAAGATGGTTTAGATTTTAAGAGCGCAACTAGGTGGTCTGATTCGATTCATAGCAAAGTATTACTCCGAAATAAAGCAATCGAAAGCATGGGCCATTACAAGAGAGGCCTTATACCCTCAACCTGCTACCAAGTACACTATAACTTAAGGTCTCCATGTGAAAAAACTATAATAGATAAGATTACAGTATCAAAGAGAAAAAATGGTGTTTATTGAATCATTTTCTCACACATCTGATATGTTTTCACGCCTCGACGTGCAAAAAGTAGTTACTACGCTGAATGATGTCGATTATATAGTTTAAAAAATTAATTAAATTTAAAATAAAATTAAATAAATAAATACCCACAGTACACCTAAACAATGGCCTAAATAGGGTCACACAATAAACGAATGCTTTTAATGACAACTAACACTACTCTACCGTGTCTCCTGTGTATAATACGATCTTTGTCTATCATTTTGATACTGATCAGAGATATCAATACAACATGTCTAACTTACTGTCCCTGGGGTAGACGGATGATGCTTATCAATCCATGAAAATGTAATGGCCAGTTAGAGAAACCATTGTTTCGGTGTTTCCGTTTCTAATCCTATTTGAAGACGAGTGAGGTGGTCGCAAGAAAACAATGAAATTACGACTACACGCACGCATGTATACGCACACGTGCTCACACAAGCCAACTGCATTCCCCCCCGTAATATGGTCATCAAATGCCTTAGTCCAGCCCAATTATTTAAGTTCTCTACTTTTCTTTGTCTCTACATTTATGTTCCACCCTATACCTTACCTACCAAGCTGATCAATACAAATATCCACTTGTAGGAAAACGTAATACCAAATCCACACATCTATTTACGAAACAAACTAATTTCATTTTACTTCATTCACTTCCAGGTACCATCGCAACCTGGTCGTTGGTTTTATTCAAGAGGGGAAAATTATTATTCCTTATGAGTGCTTATAAAAACTTATTGGTATGGCAACCACGTTGCAGTTAATATCCTAAATCGTGCTTTCAATTTTTCTTATAACTCTCAGTCATCTAATTATTGGCTCCACCATTCACTTCCCTAACGATGAGATTGACGAAAAGTTATTTTCTCTAGTATCGAATGCGATTATACCAGTATGCTAGTGAACTGTTTAACCCAGCAAACATGTCTACAGAGTTGGGGTTTCTGTCAAATTAAGAAAAAACTGAGATCAATGCTCAATAACGCCCCTTTGTACTGGAGCCACGAAAGTGGCCATTAGTCACTGTCTAATTTGTGAAACTCAACATAGCCACTTTATTAAATCTGCATGCAGCCGTTCAATAAACAGGCCGTTTAGTAAACAGCGACTGTTGTTTTGGTGCCTTAGACTGGAGCGCGTTTTCTAAATTTGAAGTCTCATCTCATCAATCTATAGCCAGACATGCCAATGACGAACGAAGTTGATGTGGGATCCCTTCCAAAAATACACACACGATTACAGGGCCCTATAATTTTTCTAATAAGAATTGGGCTATTTTTTTTCCTTTCATTACTTGCGTAACAAAACATTTAGTAATACAAATATGGGAAAACGATAGGTCTCAGGAGTGAGAGAAGACCGTTAAATAAAAATTCTGTTCGTGCATGTTTTTGATAAAGTGCCCATATCAAATTGTATAAATTATTTTACATCAAGAGTTTTACACAATATAGAAAACAGGAATATCAGTAATTTTAGAAATATTTTCAAGAAGTTATTGCAGAACCCTAGTCCATTATCCCTTATGTTTTTGTTTAATAGAAAGCTGCAGTTCTTACACTGATGAGGCGAAGATTGGTATACACCATTTGGAGGTAAGGTAGCCACATATAGCATGATAGTCACCAGTTCTTGCCTTTTGGTATGGTGAAAATAGAGATCCAGTAGCCCAATGCATTATTGTAAACACCAGTAAAGGGATAAAGTATTTGTATGTAGTATGGTATACAGCTGTGGAAGGATGCTTTGGTAGGAAACGTCCAGTCACATTTACACCGTCGCGGTGTTTCTTTGTAACATTTTAATTAGTTTTAGTGGCATGATTACGTTGATGTTGTTGTTGTTATACTTGTCAAACTGCTCCTTCTCGTGTAGCAAGATGTCAAATCTAGTCTGTATAAACTTTGAAACGCTCCTCACTTATGCCGTACTACATAATTGTGGAGAATTGGCTAGATGGTGCTTTTCGCCAACAAATCATCTTGCTGATCCCTTCCATAGCTCGGGGCTGGCGCTGGGACTCTGGGTGCCATAGGGACGGCACGTGAGCGACACTCTCTCTGTCTCCGGAGATTCATCTCGTCGCTTTGCTGCCACTGTCTGCAGCGGGCTTTCGCACGATAGGGGTCGCTTGACTGGAATGCCTTGGGTCACTTCTCTTTTTTTGCATGTTCAAATTTGAATTCCCCGCTTATTTGACTGTACATATAACTGTACGCATTAAAAAAGATGACACCAAATGGGAAAAAGAACGTGGTAGGTGCCCAAAGCATTCACGATGTTGATCGACAATAAAAAACATAAGGGTGATCACTGCATGCCAGAATCATCCATTTTTAAGTTTGTCTTCAATGAGACCTATCTTCATACCCAGCCACCGGAAGTGGTTCCGGACTTCCTCTTGCATCAGGTCAAAACACATCGCAATGACGGCTAAACCGAACAGAAGATAAAGCGACACAAAGACAAGTTTTTCTGGCGCAGAATCACTATTAATGCTGGTGCCAGGAACTACATCGCCAAAACCAATGGTGCTGAGCGTGATAAAACAGAAGTATAACCCTTTGAGAAAATCCCAGCCTTCCCAGATTGAAAATAAGAAGGCCCCGCCAACAATGTAGCCAGTCATGATACCAAAACTGACGTAAATTGGCACACTGACTTTGCCTTGCTTGGTTGTGACACGGCGATGGGTCGTGTACTGTGTTATTTTTGTTTTGATTTTATATTTATCCCCAGGAGAAATAAATTCTGGCTGGGGTGAAGGTGTCTTCGAGCTACTTTTCTTAGACGACTTCTCTCCTTTCGATGACAAGCGTTTCAATGTTTTTTGTCGCTCAAGCTCCTCTTTTTTCAGTGTCTTTTGTCTTGCAATACTTTCCTTCTTTTCACTTTTCTCACGCTCTTTTTGTTCTTTCTGAGAACGCTTTCTCTCCTCTTCCATCGCCTTTTTTGCCCGTTTTTCCTCTTCCAGGCGTCTCTGATTCTCTTTCTCTTCCTCTTTTAATTGCATTAATTGAGCAATTTTTTCTTCTCTTGCACGCTCAGCCTCCTCCTTCTTCCTTCGTTTTTTCTCTTCCAATTCTTCCTTTTTCAAAGTTTTTTGTCGAACAAGTGTTTCTTTGCGTTCTTGTTGAGCTCTTTTCTCGGCTTCTTTCTTTTCCTTCATTTCCCTTGCTTTTGCTTCTTTGATTTCTTTTTTTCTTTTTTTCCTCTTATCCTTATTGTCATTTTCTTCATTCTCAATTTCGTGCTTTTCAATTGTATCGTAGTTTTCAATATTTGGCAGCATTCGAAGAGCTTCTTCGTTCTCATTATCGCACTCCATGAGCGGGTCCGCTAATTCAATCGGCCAGCCATTGAGAGCATCTTGGAAAATGTCGGATAGTTTGGATTCACTTTCGTTGCCTCTGATTATATTTTTGTTATCGTCACCATTATGTGACAACTCGAGTTTCTGCTGCAGATAGTTACTGTTTGAGCTAGTTTTAACGGGGGAGTCCTGAGGCGAAACGTTAGGGCTTGAAGGGGTGCTAATGTCGGTGATCTCATCCCAGCTTTCCACGGCATCTTCATATATTTCATCATCTAAAATATCTGTTTCGCGTACGTTAAGATCATCAAAAGAATATTCATTGTCTGATTCGTCATCAAGAATGTCCGTTTCTCTAACCACGTTGCCATCTATGTCTAAACTGAGCGTTTTCTCCGCTGTTAAGCCGTCTTCTATTTCTGGGCTCACTTTCTTTGTTTCGTCCGCTGCTTTTGACGGTGTCATCTCATCGATGGCTTTATTTATCTTATCATCATCGGTCAGATACGTAGTTTGTGGTTTTGGTGAGACTTCTCTTACTTTATCATTAGGACTCTCGCTGTTGCTACGATTTTCGTCGTTCACGCCTTCATAGGTGGGGACTTTACTGTCTGGTTTTGGAGAAGTTTCTCGCATTGCGCTATTACGTTTTCCACTGCCTCCACTACTTCCGCCATCATCTCTTCGCCGCTTAACGCCAAGGACGGCGTCTGCAGCCGCGTCTGAAACTGAGCTTAAGATAAGTGGTTGTTGAGGAGAAATATCTTCCTCGTCGTCGGAATGGCAGACGGCACCCTCTTCCATAATACTGATCTGGCGTGCAGGGGACTTAGAAGATTTCACGCTAACCGAAGGACTAGCACGTGGAGTGCGGTGGTTCATGGTAGGTTTCTCTTCATCCCCTTGAATACTTTCTAGCCTCTGGTAAAACGAATCTTTCTTAGCCATAGTGCTTTTCCTGGAGCTGGCACTCCGGCTACGCCGCATGCTCCGTGCATTGCCCTCGTACCTTGAGCTGACACGACTGGGACCTCTGCTTGGTGACGTTCTTTTCTGGCAGCAAATGCAGCAGATGCCACAGCACACTTTGTTGTAGAGGAATCGGACCGAGTTTGCCAATGTGGTGCCTATATTGGCGCAGCACAGCAGCAGGAGTGGAATGCCCAGGAGGGCGTACAGTATGGTGATGACTCGACCCCAGCCGGTCTTGGGCGCTATGTGACCATAACCTGAAAAAAAAAACAACAGTATCGTTTATAACAGATGCTAACTAGATATGTTAAGTCACTTTCTGGAAAAAAACTTGAAGAAAAATCTGTCAGCAAGGGATGAAGAAAACATCAATGTAGGATCTACTCTGTTGGTTTTTGTACTAAAACAATAGTTACGTCTACATTTTTACGTAATGCCATCTTGAAATACATCGAAACCAACTATTAAGGATTTTTTTTATTTTCACAATTGCATAATTTTTGTTTTGCCAAATTTGCTTAATTACTTGGAAAATGTATGACTTTTGCGATAAAAATGAGCGTGGGATTAAACTATAAGATAAAGAAAATGAGATTGACAATCTTTAGTACTTTTTTAGACAGCAAACGGTACTAGCGCGTGTTCAGAAAATAATTAGTCACTCGAACACCCTTAAACTGTCACGTTCGCTTTATTTTGATTATGTATAAGAAACGTTCATGGCTCGAATAACAAAACGTTGGTTGCTCAGGTATTAGCTTCATTACAGACGATAACAAAAAACGAAAGAAATATTATAGTCGAGAAGAACTGATGTGTAAAGAGATGCCTATGAATACATTGTAGAAAAGTTAAAACGGCTAAATTTCCTTAATATTTCAAACTAATGCATTCTAAGGAAATACTGTCGTTCAGTTCATTCGATACTTAATGAAAGATTTGACGCATCTTATTTCTAATCAAACTTATAGCTATGCCGTTCAATTAAAGCTTTAAATATATTGTCACCCTTCGCCCAAAACTCCCCATTTACTGCCTTACATACATGCATACATACATTCTTTTGGGTAACAGATAAATCTTCAGTGTTCAGTGGCAAAATTAATAAACATTTACATATGTCTTCTTACAGGCGACGTCATAATTGCGCTTATGGGGTAAAAACTGAAAAATCGGTTTCTCAAATTTCTCATTTACCTGAGCACCCACGATCCCCGTTTCAACGCCGATTTAATGACACCATTTAGGACTCCAAAATACCACCAGCGATTTTTCTTAAAAGTCTTAATTAATATTTTATCGTTGATAATGCAAAATAATGCCCTTGTTTAATGAAAATCTGTAATTAGGGGCTCATACTCCATAACAAAAACCTTTTAACCAAAATGACGGCACGGGATTGTAGCCCATACACTCGTGGTCAACTTCGCCGATTTTTGAAAATCTTGTTCAGGGATGAAGTTACGCCCCATACCGATTGCTTTCTCACCTCAAAATAGAAAGGTGTGAAATTGACGATTAAAGCTTTGAGTTGCCTATGCCTTTACATTGCAACGACAAATATAAACGCCGATATTTTATATTTTCGAGGTTTTTTTATTGTTTTAAATTAGCACAAAGATAAATGCATTATTTGAATAATTAGATGCAGGAAAACCCTCATTTTCGAAATCTGGATGATAAAATAAAGGGTTAAAATATCCTTAAGCAAAATAAAGAGTGATAAGTTACCAAATTTTCAGACTCAAAATGTCTGTGTGCGTACGTTTTTACTTGGTACAGTATTGTTGCAGCCAATTGTTATCACGGGATTCAAAACAAAGCTACTAATCAGTTTTTATAAGTTTATTGTCCACAACAACGTGTTAGTGGCAGGTACAGGTATGCTTACACTACCGCTATTTACTGCCGTTGTAAAACCATTCCTTTTATTTAAAGACTGCGCAGAAGTAAATGATGGCTTAGCGGGTAAGCTATATCACCATTGGCCCTATTTTAAAACAGATGATTCTGGAAATAGACTCCGTCTAACTGACCATACACCGTTTAATTGGCACCCAGGGTTCTGTAACCGGCCCATACCTAAAATATTGTACCTCAATGTGTTTTGTCCATTACCAAGAAACTGTTCTTAGAATGGACCATTAGACTACATTCAGGTAATGGAAAAGGCATGGTGTATACAAACGTTTGTCATTACAGTTAAAATATTTGTTCTTTCAAGATAATGGAAACAGACAACTTCATTCTCGAAACAAAACGTAAAAGTATGACGTCGCGTTGGACCTTCCCAATTGCTAGAAACAATGTAGAAAAAAATATCCTAACAATAGATTGTGTTCAGCGATGTTATTTTGTACAAATTCTGTGAAAATTAGTGGAAGCCATCTTAAACTAAACAAGAGAAACAAAACTAAGGTGTAGAAATATATATGTTCAGGGTGTCCCAAAAATGTACCTACACTTTGTCTGCCCATTATTCATACATTCTGGCGGTGTTTTCGTTTATCGAAATAAGTTTTTCTTTTCAATTTGCCTTCGCAACATTCCAATCTGATAATGATAATTGTCTGCAAAGCATGATGTTGAAATGAATCAATGAACCTGTGATACAGCATTTAACATTTATGGTAGAATACAGTTCTTTTCATTTTAATAATTGAAAACTTGGTAAACATTAAGCCACATGATAGTTAAGAATAATCATTACATGAAGTATTGGCCTTCTTCCTGATATGTGGGAAGAACTGTTACTCAAAACTGATGTGAAGGCTAATTGTGTCTCGTGTTTAACTTTCACAAACTCTTAAAAGAAGCACGCTTTAATTAGGATGGGCAAGGTTTGCTTTCTAGCTTGAAGGAAGGGCAAGTTGCAGGGAATTAGGTTTATGTAAAGGCAACTGATTTGCGATCACGGTGGCTTTGAAAACAAAATGAGAAAATGTTGTTAGACCAAAATAGATTCATGGGTCGACCAGTCCCTATCCTTAATGCGCTGGTTAGTTATGGTTTTACATTCTTGGAATATACACAGGGTTGGGGAGTTTGGAACACAGAATATGAAAAGTAACTCATCTGAAGAAGATCTGAAGAAGAGCTGTAAAATAATCTTCCAGCATATGCGAGCTTTGGGTTTTACTTAAAATACCAGCCAGTCTTATGGTACGGGAACTGATGTAGAGCCGAATGGTACTCCAATTTTTGGATTAAATTCAATGTGATCATGTAAAGACCGCCATTTGATATTTGTGTTACGTCAGAATTAAACTATGTTCAGGTGGTGGGTGCCTATAGTTACAAGCTTACAGCGGCCTGCTGAAGTAGACAAGAAGTCGCCATCATGGTAGTCGGAAAACCATGTGTGATAGTTATTAAGAAATAGACCCACCGCTTTAATAGACCGGCCAACACGGTGCAATCATGAAAACGAATACATATTCAACTTCATTCACATTTATATGCATTTTGCAATTAAAATGATCCTCCAATACCTGATTTAAAAAATCACGAAACATGTAGAAGGAATTAAGGTCACGCACTATGAATTACCGTCCGATAGGTTGAATTGTTGGCACAAGCTGTTTTAGGAATTTTAAGAGACAGAAAGCACAATCACGGTGCATGCATTTATTTCTTTTTAAAATTTTCAACTTTTTTTCGAGCAAAAAACAGAGCAGGAACTAATATCACATGTCTGAACATGTTCTTTACCGCCGAGCATGCGCCAATCTCCCGCAGGCTATTGTTGCACCTTGCCTGCTGAAGGTCGAGAGCCACAGTTAAGATCTGTCGGTGGTGGACCTATTTATATACCCTCTAAAATGTTTGTCAATGTTAAGAGCAGACTAGGTTGATATGATTGGTCTAATGACTTGGCTTTTGAAGGTTAGTTATGCAATTCTTCAACAATATCATTTTCGATTCGTGCGAGTAGGGCCAGGTGTTATGCGTTTCCTACAATAATGCCTCAGTTGCAGTTGATTTAGATATTGTGGGTTTTGGGTTTATTTGATTTAAGATTGCTATATTTAAAACAATATTACACAACACATAAACAAAGCTGTGTTTTTCTTCAAAAGGTTGATGCATCTCAACGTGTTTCTACGTCAGACTGCGTTAATGCATTTACTAACATTTATATTCAAAGTTGAGACCTATTAATTGTTGGCACACTGGGATTCAATGGGAACTAGCGAAACATTCTCAGACAGAAGATAACCAACCACACACTATTTGGAACCGTTCAATGTACTTTTAAGAAACACGTTGCATACAAAGGGGCCAGGACCATAAATTTTCTCTTTAAAACCAGGCCCGTTATACAGGCAGTAAGAATGCTAACAAGGTGTCTATACGACGCAGTGTGTATTCTCATCAGGGAAGATTCTATAGATGTAACATAAGGATGAAAAACTGGTAACTAAGTTACCCCTTAATCTCACGTAAACTATGGTCTAAGTGGGTAGTCCGTCTTCAGTCTTGCTCAGGCCAAGGCGTTGTACATCAACTGACAAGGCATATTACTTCCCGAAGTCACTGACATTACTTAAAACGTATTTAGTTCACTTTAGTCAGTGATAAACTTCTTTTGAAGAGTCCATATTACGTGATTCTGACGTCAGAACAGTTCATTTAATAGACTTTCTCGGCAAAAAAGTAATAAAGAGACCCTGCTCCTCTGTACGTTATTATTTTGCCTCCTGAGCAGAGAAGACATGGTCGCCACGGGTTACTCTTAAATTAAGACTATCAGTCACACGACATTAACTATATGGAACTATTAAGTGACACGTGCATATTTGCAGATTTCTCCTGGGGATAACCAGTAACTATCCTATATCTATGTATCTGATTCTTATTGTTTTCTGAAATCTATACTGTATACATGCATTTTCTCTTTGATCTTATGTCCATTTTGTTTAATCTTATTATTTTAACTTCTTTTTTATTTACATATTTATGTATATCAACAATTACTTTTTGTGAAACATAAAATCTCCACCATTTTGTTGAATATTATTTGAATGTCGTGTGTGATGTGAAACCTAAAATTTCAAATCAAAACAAAGTGCGTGACAAAATGAAATAGATTCTCTTTTTTCCCAAGAAATATTGGCAAAGAGGAACGGATCGACGTATCCACACTGGCCGTAATTCCAGGACAACCCACATTGCATCAGTCATTTTGAATACATCGATCATCTTTCTTTTCTGTACAACATTAGCTTAGGTGCTTGTAGCTAATGGTCCATGTTAC